TGCGTTTTAAATTGAAAAAAAAACATGACGGCCGTCCGTTTATTGTTTATTGTGTAACCACTAGCTGCGGCCGCAGCTTTGCCCGCTTTCCTGGGATGTTTATTGGCTGGGATTTAGTGTTTTATCTTAGATCATATAGATAGAGTGTCTCCATACAAATGCTTGTAGAAAAACTGATCAAATTTTACATACAATTTTGCTTGATAAATAGTTATCAGTGATTCCTTTATAACTTCTATATTTATTTTGTCTTATAATTTCTGCATCTTGTTTAATGCGTAAACACTCATTTTATTTATTAAATATAACGTCAAAATACATTGGTGTGCGTAAGTAAATATGTATATAGAACACTGATAAAGAAATGAGTCAGCTATTTTGACAATTAACTGACAAAAAGTTGACCTGTTTTTGAGGCAATAGAGCATAGACCTATTTATATAATCTTTTTTTTTTTTTATACAACTTAGAATGGCAAACAAGCTGACAGCTCACCTGATGGAAAGTGGTAACCGTCGCCTATACACATGAGCAGTAGCATGGACATAACAGAGTACACTGTTTCGCCCATGATACGAGAGGAGTATTCAGTCTGTCTTTTACGGATTCTCAACAATAAAACAAATAATTGAGTAGGCAATAAACATGGGTAACAAGAATACCGATCCAATATTTATATATTGGGTTTCTCTAAACATCGATGGCGAAAAAAAGGTCGTCACCCATTCCGATATCGTCAATATCGGTCGGATATCTACGAGTATTTTTGAATAAAAGACTTTTAACATATTGGTTATCGGACCAGTGCATAGTTATTGTAACTAAAATCACCCCTAGTAGATAGTTTTGATGGGTGAAAATGTTATGGTAACCCCGCCTGCGCTAACGGTATACGCTGGCGGAGCACCAGTGAAGGGTGATAGATGAGAATGAAAACAGGCCAGTTAGCGCATCATGATGAATTCATCGAGAATTAACTGTGATAGTTTCCAGGGGGAACAGCGAGGAGGTGGACCTGGTTGGGTGTATTACTAGCAATGGGATTCTCAGTCTCCATTACTAACAATCCCTCCCCCCCCCCTCCTAGTAGATAGTAGTTCATAGTATATATATAATTATGTTTTTATATGTAGGCATTAATATAGAACTACTGTATTAATTTGCATGTTTATTTTACGAATTTTTGTATGTATGTATAATAATTTACCTTCTTATACAAAAATATATCCCTTTCAGACCTGAACGATACGGACGTGAGTTGTAACTTTATAAAATTCTAAAAGCGCGCGCAATTCATTTTTACTTAAAGATATTCGTACCTTGAACCTTGTTCCTTGAACAGTAAGGGAACTCTTCAAGGATTGGTAGTAAGAGTTAGCAGAATTGTCAGTAGATTTCACTTATACGGTTTATAAGGTCCAAACAAATAACACAATATATATATATATATATATATATATATATATATATATACACAATATCACTTGATGTTTAAATAAAATAATATTTAAATCACCTACTAATTTTCTATTTTTGTATTAAAACGACAGTCAACAATTACTAGGCAACACACGCATAAGGTGTCACAGCGCATTTAAATTTTTGACAAACCAAAAAGTATTAACAATTTTTACGCACGAAGCTGAAATAACATGATAGTGAGATTCTAAACCGGCCAATAAGAAATCGTTTTAGCGGTTAGGTAGGTGCAGTAGTCTCGTGCGTGCCGGCAAGATGGCTTGACTCCAAGACACGAAAATATATTTAATTTATTTATTTATTTATTTATTCATTAGTACAAATATGTGTACATGGCGGACTTAATGCTAGAAGCATTCTCTCCCAGTCAACCATAGGGAAGTGTCAGAATACACGAATGCGGTACTAGTAATTATTGATATACATACATACTAAAATTACATATATAAACGAATAAATATATATAAATAACAAATATACTCACACATATATGACATATACTATATTATACACGAAATTGAGAATAATATAAAGCACTTACTGCTCGGATAAAAATAAAAAGATCTAATCTGAAAGAAAAACAATCTTGGGTCTGAAAGGGATATATCATTTTATTTTTCAAACTGATGTATATTTAAAATGATGTAATCAACTCTTTACAATAGACAGGCAATCTATCTATGGTGTTAATGACAATTCGTAATTACGTGCTCGGCCTGTTCGAGCAGGCGTTTCCTTTTTTACTATTGTCCTACCGTCCACTGTTGTATGTATTTCTAGTACGGTGCCATCTTGTTTTTACTTGGACAGTTCTAACGCCAGCTAGAACATTATTGTTAATATTTATATGAAATAAAACGCACTTATCAACTATTACCAGAGTTTATTCTAGAATAAATTCCATTATGTCCACGACGAGACATATGGCAAGAACGAATATTTAGTCTATGGCAAGGGAAAAGAATAAATCTAAGGTAGAACGAAGTTAATTTGATTTTTGATTAATTATTGTATGTAAAACAATTTAAATTGTGTTTCACCAGAGGGAGACTTTGTACAAAAGTCGTATGCTTGGATACCTCTGTCCCATTCGTGTTTCAACCGTGAAGCAGTTGTGTCTGCATGGCTGTGTTTCGGTTTGAAGGGCGGGATATGGCGTGAATTTACTGGGTACAGAGGAATAACATCCGAGTCCTCAGGAATGGCAACGCATGGGTGGTATCATGAGCGAAACTGTATACTCTGTTATGTCCATGATACTGCTCATGTCTATAAGTGACGGTTACCAGTTTCCATCAGGTGGGCCGTCAGCTTGTTTGCCATTTAAAGTTGTATAAAAAAAAAGTTTTAATTGTGTGACGTTTAAAGCAGGTCATCGTGAAGAATTCCGTGAGAATTAACCACGATGGTTTCCAGGGCGAACCACGTGGAGGTCGACCTGATAGGTTGTATAGCTGGCAACGGGTCAGTTAGACCCCATTACTAACTATCCCTTTATCCCTCAAAAGGAGCAATGCAGTTGGGAAGGGAATACTGGTCAGAAACTGTAGCAGATTGGAAGGCCGGGGTCGCATACAATATTTTAGGGGGGGAAGGGATTGTTAGTAGTGGAGACTGAAAATCCCATTGCTAGCAATATACCCAACCAGGTCCACCGCCACGCGGTTCTCCCTGGAAACTATCATGGTTAATTCCTGATGAATTCATCATGATGGGCTAACTGGCCTGTTTTCATTCTCATCTATCGCCCTTCACTGGTGCTCCGCCAGCGTATCCCGTTGGCGCAAGCGGGGTTACCATACCATTTTCACCCATTAAAAAAAAATACCATATTTTAGAACCGGACAAATGACCAGTAAGGTTTTTTTATACCACTGAGGTGGCAAATAAGCATACGGCCCACCTGATGGTAAGCGGTTACCTGCCTGCCAAAACCTGCTATACCAGGCGCATTACGCGCGTGTTAGATATTTATTTTAAATTATATTAATTTTCATAAACATCTTGTGTCAAAATGTGTACCTACATTTACTAATAAAAATCAGACTAACTACTTTAAATATAATAAAACGTTAAAATTGTTATTATACCAAATTTGGTAATAAATTATTCTTGTAATGTATATAGAACACTAATTTATATTTTAATTGATTTTATAATTATTTATTGTCATGATACTTGAATAAAAAGTAATGAAATTGTAAGAACACGTGGTCTCGTTGACTTGTTCACTCGAATTCGGTTCTGTAGATATAAAAGATTGTCATTTGGGTGGGGAGACACTTCTTGTCCAACCGTTGAACGGAGCGGAGCTCCCTGACGTATCAAGAGTGAACAAGTATAGTGAACCACGTGGCCATTATACAAAATATATCACAATTATTGTTGATGGAAGTCCTAAAGAAGCTATAGTTAAATAAGTGTCAATGAATTAACAGAAGTTGGGTATTTATGTTATATTATTTGTTATATATCAAATATAAAGTGAAATAAGTAAATATATAATTTAATAGTATGATATCTAAATTAAATTAACTGTGAGAACTTGTGCTTCATTTCTATTTATTACCAAGAGCTTTACAACCTTTATATTGCTAAATAATAAATCATATACCGTGTAAAGTTACAATTACGTAATTAAATTACTTTATAAATCTATTACCCTACAGTTATTTATTTGATACGTGCATTGTCGACCCTGAAGAAACCTCTTTACCCCTTTTTTTAAGAACCCCATGCTGTAGCCTCTTGGGAAAACCTCGGCAGGGAGCTCATTCGATAACCTGAACGTTCGTGGGAGGAAACATCACTGAAACCGCACTGTACGCGACCATCTAGGCTTACATATGGGGGTATAACCCCGGCTTTAAAAAAATTCATTTAAAAATATTAAATATCCTATATGTAATCAATAATAAAGTCGTTATGGTTATATAAATTGTTCGATATGTTATTATTAGATCCACTAGAGGGCGCGTCACGGTAAACGTTAAAAACTTTTAAAAAGAAAATGAAGTTTTTAACGTTTTTTTTTTTCACCTATGAAATACTTGCAAAGGGTACTCTTTGTTAATAAAAAAAATAGTTGGCCACCTTAATATACCAAACAATAAAAAAACGTATACAATAACATACATATATACATACATACATATCTGTCACGCCTACATAGAATCCAATAAGTGGTATTGTTTCTGTGATTATTCTATTGCTATTGTTATGATTTTATAGTAAAAAAAAAAACAAAACAAAACAAGAAACTAAATTGCCCTATAGAGTCACCATAAGAACATTATTGGAAACGGCAACCACGTGTACCACAGACTACTTTCCCGTGGATGTCGTGAGAGGCGACTAAGGGAGGACGAGGAATAGGTATCAGCGTCTTTCTAAAAACATCTCTAAAGCCTAACCGCGGTTGCCAACCCGCCTGCCAAGCGTGGCAACTACTGACAAACCCCCCAAATGAGAGGCTTATGCTCAGCAGTGGAGCAGTTAAAGGCCGATATGAAATGACCAAAACTTTTGTATAAAATTTATTCATCCACCGTGCAGTGTCGATATAAACATGATGTTGTCATTTTCTTGTATTTCATACTCCAATTCGCCGTACAGCTCCCAATCTGCATCGTTTATTAACACTAATATGCCAGGCCGGACCGAATCACCCTGTGAACAAATCAAGAGATGAATGAATGAGTATACTTTATTTGCATTATACAATATAGGGAATAAGCAAGGCAATTAATAAATGTAACGATACAGTTGTATGAGTACAACAGATATTTACATATATGAAACGTCACCAGGGAGAGCCTTTTTACAAGTCGTTTGCTTGGCCACCTCTGTCCCATTCGTGTTTCTACCGTGAAGCAGTTTTGTTTGCATGGCTGTGTTTCGGTTTGAAGGGTGGGATATGGCAGTGAATTTACTGAGTAAGCACACATGTCCTTAGGAATGGCAACGCATGAAGGGTATCACGGGTGAATCAGTATACTCTGTTATGTTCACGGTACTGCTCATGTCTATAGGCGACGGTTACCACTTTCCATCAGGTGAGCTGTCAGCTTGTTTGCTATTCTATGTTGTATAAAAAAAAAAAGATTATATAAATGGAGCTCTATGCTCTAGTGCTTTAAAAAACAGGTCAACTTTTTGTCAGCTAATTTTCAAATTAGCTGACTCGTTTGTCAGTGTTCTATATACTTACGCACACAATGTATCTTGACGTATTTATTTAATAAATAAAATGAGTGTTTACGCATTATAAAGATGCAGAATTTATAAGACAATAAATATAGAAGTTATAAAGGAATCACTCGTAATTATTATTTATCAAGTTACGTATACATAGCTTGAAATGGCAAATCATCTGACAGTTTTTTTTTATACAACTTAGAATGGCAAACGAGCTGACGGCCCACCTGATGGGAAGTGTTAACTTTCGCCTAAGACATGAGCAGTACTGTGGACATAACAGAGTATACTGTTTCGCCCATGATATGTTTTGTTCCACTTCAGGCAAAATATATACTCATTATAAATATAATTCATTACCATTTGACATATAGTTCTAGTATAGAATTGGGCATCCCTTTCTTTCCCATGGGTATCATAAAGGGACTAAGGGAAATTAAGGGTTACTAGATGGGCAGCAGTCTCTCTTAAAACATAACCAAAAGCTTAACTTTGGTTGTCAACCCATCTGCATGGCACCTATCAACAAAACCCTCCAATAGAAGAAGCATATGTTTAGCAGAGGGCAGCTGACGGCTGATATGTTGAGGATACCATCATTATTATGTATAAAAAAAAATTATACGTGCCTGTATAAATAACTCTGGCCTTTCTCTCAAAAGGTTATCTTTTAACCAAACCAATAACTCCCTAATGGTCCATTTCTCCTTCGGGCAATCGGGAAAATACTTTTTCAACACTGGCAACTCCACTTCCCGCCTTTTTATTTTGTCAAACAACAGCTCTGCTCCACCACCGAATTGTAAATGTATTTTTAATGTGGCTGTCATTTCTTTCTGAAAAAAAATAAAATAAAAAATGTCACTTGACTTTTTTTATATTAATATTATAAAGGGCAAACTATATATATTTGTAATACCATTGAATAAATAACAGTTGGTCTCTTTATTGGTAAATAAAAGAAATAATGGAAAGTAAATTGAAGTGTGAAGGGGGAGCATATGGCAGTGAATTTACCGGGTACAGAGGAATTACACCTGAGTCAATGGAATCAATAATAAGGAATGGCAATGCATAGGGTATCATGGGAGAAACGGTATACTCTGTTATGTCCATGGTACTGCTCATGTCTATAGGCGACGATTACCACTTTTGTTTTTACAACACACGGAGCAAACGAGCATGCGGTTCACCTGATGGTAAGTGACTACCGCCGCCCATGGTCACCCACAACACCAACGGCATTGCAGGTGTGCTGCCGGCCTTTTAAAAAGGAATATGTCCTTTCCTTGAAGGTTATATCGTCGTATCGGTTTGGACATACTGCTGCTGGAAGTTGATTCCAAAGAGTGGTTGTGCGTGGGAGAGAGTGCCTTGAAAAATGCATAGTGAAGGATTGTCACTCGTCCAGATGGTTGGGATGAAATTTTAGTTTATGGCGGGTTGTATGATGGTGAATAATAAACCTCTTGATAGTGTATTTACATAAGATATTTATTAATTTTGGAGAATTATATTATTTGCATCTTCTTTTTGGCAAATACAGCAAGTATGTAAAATAACATAATCAAACTTTTGAAAGAAATCTTCAAAATACAGTTTTAAAAATAATGCAATTATAGGTCTACATAAGATTTGAATAAACCTAATCTATTTAAATAATAAAGATCACTCGAAACAACTATATTTTATTTTATTTAACATTAGACAGAGAGGAAGTAAGATAAAAAAAAAAGTATTCTAGAAAAGTTTGGGCCCCATAAAATAATATAAACACATAAAACCTACTTCAACAAAACCTCATCAAGTATAGAGTAAACATTAATACTTACTTGTAATTGTTATGTTAATTATATTATTAAAACTATATTTATTGTTTTATTAAATTATTCATTTGCAATATAATTTTTTTTATATTTCCTATTATTGGTTAGAATTTATAAATAACAATAACATTAGATGATTGTCACTTTTTTTTTTTTAGTACGTTTGTTCCATTGTGGAACAGGCTAAGGTCGGAGACCATGCTGCCTAGTCTTTAAAATGATAATTTGTCTGGAATTTGATGATTGTCACTATGAATTGTCAAGTATCGCTGTGTAAAAAAAAAAGACAGTCCGCCAGTCAGTACCGTAGATAGAACACAGGTACCTAATATCTTAGGTCTATGAGAAAAAATAAATAACACTATTAATTATACATATATACATATCTATCATGTCTTTGGTCATACCTACCTACCCACGAACACTCAGGTTGTGAAATGAGCTCCATGCCGAGGTTTTCCCAAGAGACTACAGCATTGGGTTCTTCAAAAGGGGAGTAAAGAGGTTTCTTCAGGGTCGGTAACGCATGCGTAATACCTCTGGTATTGCAGGTGTTCATAAGCTACGGTAACCACTTACAATCAGGTGGGCCGTATGCTTGTTTGCCACCTCAGTGGTATAAAAAAAAACTAACTATATACGCTGGCGGGGTACCAGTGAAAGATGATAGATGGCAATGAAAAGGCAAGTCAATTAGCCTATCGTGATGGATTCACTTAGAATAGAACACCATAGTTTCCAGGGAGAACCGCAAAGAGGCAGACCTGGAGCTACTAATCCCCATTTTAAACAATCCATTATTCCTCCACCTATCGCCTATTATAGAAGACCAAAGGAAAGGCAGAAACAATGGAACACCAAGTGCTTCAGTTCAAATAAACCTCATAGTTATAATGTTAGTTTTATCTCTTTCTTTATTTTTAGAAAAATTGTTGTTAACTTTTTAACTCGTTACCTGACATTGTTCAGGATGTAACGTACTCATTAAAGTTTAGACTCTAGCCGTCCTCTGGATGACGTACGAGCGGGCGGTCGTGTAAGTCGCATTGTGACGTATTATTGTTTATTTTTTCCTACACTTACCTACCATACCAGGAGGACAGCACAAATCGTCCAGTTCAGTCTCATTTAAGTAGTGTCTTCCAGATATTTAAATAGGTAGTTTAATTCTTCTGAGATCTCAATCTAGTTGTTTTTGTCATAGATAAAGAAGTACCGGTATTCTCATTGTTAAATGTCAAAATACTTACAAATGTCATAAATGTAGCTTTTGTTCTCGGTTTTCTTTTACGGCTATTTGAAGTCTTTTTTGTAAATAAATATTAAAAACTTATATAAATTATATAAATAATTAAAAAAATATATATAAAGTTAAATAATATAATTAAAAAAAATGTAAAACTAAATAAATTAAGTTTATAATTATAATATTTAAAATAATAAAGAATCGATATAAGAAATGAAATAAAACTGTCCTAAGGAACAATAAAATAAAATGGATTTAATTAATATTTGTGTAGTATGCTTGAAAATTGATGGGAAATTGTACAGTTTTAATAAACGCAACTATTTGTCTGAGTTTTACAGAGAGTTATGCGATGAAACCGTAAGTACTTTTGTATAATAAATAAATATTTACTTTAAAAAAAAGTAGATAATGAATTTATCACACACATAAATTTTTTTTTCACATAAAATTAGAATTCTAAAGTTGGTATTTCTACCTCTTGTCTTGATGTGTCTTTAAGAGTATTTATATTGTATTAATGAAGATAACTAATAATAATAATATATATATATATATATATATATATATATATATATATGTATATATATATATTTTCCATATTCATTTTTATTTATATACTATGTATTGCACTATTTAAAGAATAGATAGATAGATAGATACTCTTTATTGTTTCCTCCAAAAGATTACAATAGTAAACTTATTATAGATACAAACAATTACAAGAAATAATTACAGTGAGAAAACAATGGGCGGCCTTATCGCTAAGAACGATCTCTTGCAGGTAACCTTTGGATGGAGAGGAGTAATTATAAACAATTTGGTAGGAGGCACCATGAAAAATTTTTTGTTAATTCTAGATATGGGAGATGCAGTACATATAATAATATAAATATTATCCCTACTCATTATTATACAAAATGTTGATTGTTAATCTTAAATGTATATTTGCATGCTATCACCTTGTTAGCTAAGCATGAATGTTCTTTGACTAATATAACATCCTGGACTTTACCGTGTTTGAGAAAAAAAAAAGAAAAACTGCAGTTGCCAACCCGCTTGCCAAGCATAGCAACTACTGCAAAACCCCTTAAAGGAGAGACTTGTGTTCAGCTATAGACAGTAAAAGCTGTGATGATGGTCGATATAGATAAGAATAAGGAACTATTACTATTTATTTTTTCTTAAAACCAATTTATAAAAGGCATATCAAAAACCACAGATGCTTGTCTGGAATGCCAAGCATTCTGCTTGTTTTGTATATAAAATTATAAACATACATTCTACCAGAGGGAGATTTTGTACAAAAGCCGTTTGCTTGGGTACCTCTGTCCCATTCGTGTTTCAACTGTTGTGTTTGCATGGCTGTGTCAGTTTGAAGGGTTTTTTTTTATGAGTGAAAATGGTATGGTAACCCCGCCTGCGCTAACGGGATACGCCAGCGGAGCACCAGTGAAGGGTGATAGATGAGAATGAAAACAAGCCAGTGAGCCCATCATGATGAATTCATCAGGAATTAACCATGATAGTTTCCAGAGAGAACCGTGAGGAGGTCGATCTGGTTGGGTATAATGCTAGTAATAGGAGAATCTCAATCTCCATTACCAACAATCCCTTTCCCCCCCAGTTTGAAGGGTGGGATCTGGTATGAATTTACAGGGTACAGAGGAATAACATCTGAGTCCTCGGGAATAGCAATGCATGGGGAGTATCATGGGCGAAACAGTATACTCTGTTATGTCCATGGTACTACTCATGTGTATAGGCGATGGTAACCACTTTCCATCAGGTGGACCGTCAGCTTGTTGCCATTCTAAGTTGTATAAAAAAAAAAACAGTAAATAAAATTAATTTTATTACAGATGGACATTTCTAACAGCTCATTACAGCTGTGCTCCATTTGTGCTTATTTATTGAAGAAGTTTTACAATTTCAAAAAGAAATGCAGCAGCTCCCAGGAGAAAATACGGCAGTGTTTCGATTCGGGGCAAAAGGTAATTTTTTTTATTATCTAAACTATAGTTCTTTAACATTATTTCCCACTTCTCATTAATATTTACTGTATTTATTATTTTAAAAAATGCTAAAAAATAAAGTTTTACACTTTTAAATAAATAATTTTAACTTTAGTAGTTCCAACTGTGTGTTGATGGATCATTCAGCCATAATTTTTCTTTTTATAATACAGTACTGATAGAGACAAGGATCAGGTCATTGCGTCAAGAGTGTCCTTCTCTAGAAATCTGTCCAATTCTAGAATGAAGACATACGGGTATGTGACCCTGGCCTCCCGAGCCGCTGCAGTGTCCCAGTCCTTTCCGCAACTGCAGTGCCCCTTCTTTCCTTCCTACTTATTTCTCCTATTTACCAATTTCCTTTACGCATTTCCGATGTACCCATCCTTTTTTCCTCAATCCTTTCCTCCATACCGTAAGTGGCGGAAACCACCAACAAATGCATTCCCAAAGAGGGTTGACGTCAGACAGGCGGCCGGTCGTAAAACTATAAGCCAAGCTTTTTGTAGTATGGATAAAAAACATATTACGCCAACCCCATATAATAAATGGGATAAGGATGGGGAGAGGATGACTGATAAAGACAAGGTTTTTTTTTTATTGGATGAAAATGGTATGGTAACCCCGCCTGCGCTAACGGGATACGCTGGCGGTGCACCAGTGAAGGGTGATAGATGAGAATGAAAACAGGCCAGTTAGCCCATCATGATGAATTCAACAGGAATTAACCATGATAGCTTCCAGGGGGAACCGCGAGGTGGACCTGGTTGGGTATATTGCTAGCAATGGGATTCTCAGTCTCCATTACCAACAACCCCTTTCCCCCCTAAAGACAAGTTTAAGATATTATTATTATGGTGTGAATTCTACAATTGCAGGTATCATCCCTCAGTACATTTTCATCCCCATCTTTAAATTATTGGATAGAGAATCTAAATAAAACTGTTATATACAGAAATATGAATGATGCAGAGATATTAAGCAATAACATCAACACAGAAATGTACATTTCATACATGAAAATTGATGAGAACTCGCCCGATGATCCGGAGAAGAGCCTCAAAGTGGAGAACGAAGAAGAAGAATGTGATAGAGTGAAGGATATCGAAGCCAACGAGCTAGAATTGAAAACGGACGTTCAAGAAGAGTTATCGGACGATATTTTCGAGTCCTTAAGTCCCATAGTTGTTTTTACAAAAGAAGAAATTAATATTGTAAGTAAAGATTTTAGTTTTTTTTTATCTTCTAGACTAGACTTTAGAGGGGTTCCCAAACATATTTTGTCTTTTTTTTTTTTTATACAACTTAGAATGGCAAACAAGCTGACGGTCCACCTGATGGAAACTGGTAACCGTCGCCTATAGACATGAGCAGTGCCATGGACATAACAGAGTATACTGTTTCGCCCATGATATGTTTTGTTCCATTTAAAGCAAAATATATACTCATTATAAATATAATTATTCTCTTCTTATTCACCAACTTCAAAAAGAATGATGTCATCGATTCCGTTGTTTTTTTTTTTTATCACATTATTCAGTCTGTTCCGACTGTTTACGTAAATTTCAATTTATTCTTTATATCCCATATGGTCTAGTGGCTAGGATACCTGGCTTTCACCCAGGAGGCTCGGGTTCGATTCCCGGTATGGGAAACATCATTTTGTACGTCATTTCTTAAATTATTTTCAATATGAGTTATTTAATATTTTTTTTTATGTATATATTTTGAATTTAAAATTTGTGAATTTAAATAAAAAAATAAAAATAAAAAATCGTATCAAAAGCCTTCTATCTTTTACAAACATCATCCATTTTCTATATGTTAATTTAATATTTAATTTATTATGTTAATTTAATATTTTATGGAATTAAAAATCAATTTATCTATATTTGGAATTTCGACTGACGTCATAAGGAGGTACTGAATTCGGTTGTATGTCCTTTTCATGTTTGCCACCTCATAACTCGGTCAGTTGTGGACCGATTTGGAAGATTCTTTCTTTATCTGAAAGGACATACTTACAGATTGGTCGTGTAAAATTTTTTTTTCAAAATTAGTCAACTAGTTCTGTTTTTAAATGAAAATAACTGGTTTTGCCCCAACTTTAGAATTTTAAGAATTCAGTTTTTTTTTGATCTAATATTACTTGTGCCACAGGTTCCAGACGTCATGCCTGAATTAAAAGGTTCCCTGGAGACGAATATAGAAGTGAGCAAAAAGAAGGGGAAGCAGAAAGTAAAACAGAAGAAGGACAGAATAGAAGAATTAAATATAGATAAACTGAGTTTACACAAGAGAAGGAAACTGTTGAGACAAATAAAAGGTGGGGTTTTATTCTATACTAGCGACCCGCCTCGGCTTCGCACGGGCGCACATTACATCACATTAGAAACCTCTAAATTTATCAGTGTTCCTCCACTATCCGTGCATCTTCTACCGATTTTATCATGGGGAGTGTTCTGAGGAATTGTTCGGATTGATAGCTGCTGCTGATTTTCACCATCGTACAACCCATTACAAACTAAAGTTTCATCCCAATCATTGGTCCTCCACCGTACGTTTTTCAAGGCACTTCCTTCCACGCACAACCACTCTTTGGAATCAAGTTCCAGCAGCAGTATTTCCGAACCGATACGACAACATAACCTTCAAGAAAAGAGTATATTCCTTTTTAAAAGGCCGGCAGCACACCTGCAATGCCGCTGGTGTTGTGGGTGATCATGGGCGGCGGTAGTCACTTACCATCAGGTGAGCCGCATGCTCGTTTGCCCCCTGTGTTGTAAAAAGAAACTATATTATGCATGTATTATACATATAAACCTTCCTCTTGAATCACTCTATCTATTAAAAAAAAATGCATCAAAATCCGTTGCGTAGTTCTAAAGATTTAAGCATACATAGGGACTTACAGACAGCGTCAGCGACTTTGTTTTATACTATGTAGTATAGTAGTATGTATGTATGTACTTATTATTTTATGTAGTGACTAGCGAACCACCCGGCATCGTCCGAGTTTGTTTTTAAAATACAGGCCCCCCATAGGCACCAGTGAGGCGTGATAGGTGAGGATGAAGCAGATCAGTTAGCCCATCGTGATAAATTCCGCAAGAATTAACCACGATGGTTTCCAGGGAGAACCGCGTGGTGGTCGACCTGACAGGGTACATTGCTAGCATTGGGAGTGGTAGTCCGCATTACTAACAATCCCTTCCCCCCCGCTAACGACCGGTGGGCCACCTCTAGTCTAAATTTTACATTTTAAACACTACAGAGAAGCCAAGCTTAACGGCCAAAGATAAGCAGCTGTTATTCAAGCTGGACAAACGGTACAAGCCCCTGAAGGATCTGGAGAATGACTTCAACGTGCAAATGTATTTGACTGAGGAGGAGCAGCTGGAGGAGTTCTACAGGAGGAGGTCTGATGATGGCTACGTGAAGGCCGAGTACAAGTGTGAGATATGCTATAGGGGATTCAAAGAGCAGAAGTTATTGGACACTCACAAGTTGAAACACGAGGTATGGACTACATACATACATACATACATATCTGTCACGCCTGTCTCCCATTAGGGTAGGCAGAAACAATGGAACGCCAAATGCTTCGATCCATGTATCGAGGTATTGACTATGGAGTAAAAAGTAGACATATGTCCTATCCGTGCACCAAATTTTATCCAAATCCGTTTATTAGTTTTTGCATGAAAGAGAAATCTACCTGTAACCCATCCGTACTCACGTCACAACATTTTACTGTAATTTTTTTTATGCAACTTAGAATGGCAAACAAGCTGACGGTCCACCTGATGGAAAGTGGCAACCGTCGCCTATAGACATGAGCAGTACCATGGACATAACAGAGTATACTGTTTCGCACATGATAGCCCCCATACATAGTTGCCACGCTTGGCAGGTGGATTAGCAACCGCAGTTAGGCTTTGGAGATGTTTTAAGAGGGACGCTGTTGCCCATCCCTCGCCCTCCCTTAGTCGCCTCTTACAACACCCACGGAAGACCAGAGGGAGACTTTGTACAAAAGTCGATTGCTTGGGTACCTCTGTCCCATTCGTGTTTCTACCGTGAAACAGTTATTTACATAGTTGTGTTTCGGTTTGGAGGGTGGGATATGGCGTGAATTTACAGGGTACAGAGGAATAACACCCGAGTCCTCAGGAATTGCAACGCATAGGATGTATCATGGGCGAAACAGTATACTCTGTTATGTCCACTGTACTGCTCATGTTTATAGGCGACGGTTACCACTTTCCATCAGGTGGGCCGTCAGCTTGATTGCCAATCTAAGTAGTATAAAAAAAAGGAAGGCATGGCCTATTCTATGCCGGGACCACGCGACCAATGTAATCTTACTATGTTAATGTTGTATTAGGAATAACCAAATGTTGTCTGTAAGAGATCGCCCTAGCGATAAGACCGCCTCTTGTACCTTTATGTGTATATTTCAATCTGTATTTATGTTACTGTATTTCACTTGATCTATTCACTTGTCATTGTATATTTTTATTTATGATGCAATAAAGAGTTAAATAAATAAATAAATATTATAAATTTTCAGCCATCAGCCGGCGAGTATGTATGTAGGATTTGCAACATACGGTGTGCGACGTCGAAACTGCATCGGACGCACAGGGATTCCAACCATACGGCCAAGTACACGTGCAAGAGTTGCTCCTTCGTCACCTACAGCAAGTGAGTACCTCTAACTACTAAGCTTGGGTGGAGAGGGATTGTTAGTAATGGAGACTGAGAATCCCATTGCTAGCAATATACCCAACCAGGTCGACCTCCTCGCGGTTCCCCCTGGAAACTATCATGGTTAATTCCTGATGAATTCATCATGATGGGCTAACTGGCCTGTTTTCATCCTCATCTATCACCCTTCACTGGTGCTCCGCCAGCGTATCCCGTTAGCGCAGGCGGGGTTACCATACCATTTTCACCCATCAAAAAAAAACTCCTAACCTTAGGTTATATAGATAGAGCATCGAGCCTCAAAAACGGCTCAACTTTTTGTCAGCTAATTGTCAAATTGACTCGTGTTTTTATCAGTGTTCTATATACTTACGCACACAATGTATCTTGACGTATTATTAAATAAATGAGTGTTTACGCATTAAAAAGATTTTTTTTTATACCACTGAGGTGGCAAACAAGCATACGGCCCACCTGATGGTAAGCGGTTACCGTAGCCTATGAACGCCTGCAATACCTGAGGTATTACGCGCGCGTTGCCGACCCTGAAGAAACCTCTTTACCCCCCTTTTGAAGAACCCCATGCTGTAGTCTCTCGGGAAAACCTCGGCAGGGAGCTCATACCACAACCTGAGTGTTCGTGGAAGGAAACATCTCTGAAACCGCGTTGTACGCGACCATTGAGGCTGTAGGACATGAGGATAAACTCCCTGTCGATGACGAGCCTTACGATGGTAGGAAGTGGCTGTGGGCATCATATTGAACAATTCCTCTGAGCACAATCCATTGCTTGCAAGAGATCGCTCTTAGCAATAAGGTTGCCCATTGTTTTCTCATTGTGATTATTTCTTGTAATTGTTTGTATCTATAATAAGTTTACTATTGTAACCTTTTGGAGGAAACAATAAAGAGTATCTGTCTATCTATTTATCTATAAATTTTATAAATAAAACAATTACAAACAATGTTAACAAAGGCGAACTTATCTCTAAAAGAGTCCAGTCAACATGACAAAGTGCAAATTGTTAATTCAGCTATTTATTTATTAAAAACTTGAGACACAAGATGTTACATATCTCCCTATCGATCCATGATGATGGAACTAACCAACCTGTCTGTTTGTCTGTCAGGGCACAAGCCCGGAAACACCAGAGCTGGCACGAGGGCGTGGTGCACACGTGCCAACATTGCCAGATGAGTTTTAGGTACGTACAGACCTGTATTTATAAATATATCTATATGTATTTGGTATTATACAACTTAGAATGGAAAACAAGCTGACGGCCCGCCTGATGGAAAGTGGTAACCGTCGCCTATAGACACGAGCAGTACCGTGGACATAACAGAGTATACTGTTTCGCCCATGACACCCACCATGCGTTGCTATTCCTGAGGACTCAGGTGTTATTCCTCTGTACCCAGTAAATTCACGCCATATCCCATCCTTCAAACCGAAACACAGCCATGCAAACACAACTGCTTCACAGTTGAAACACGAATGGGACAGAGGTACCCAAGCAATCGACTTTTGTACAGTCTCCCTCTGGTTTAATTCCATTTTAATGTTTATCAAACACAAGGCACGTTGTGGTCGCCTATAAATGTAAGAACAGTTAGATCTAATCCACCAGTGTACGAGGTTTGTCCGGAAAGTACGTATAAAATTTTTAAAAATTTTATTTTACAATTATTCAGGTAAATCAATTTTATCCCCTTCAAAGTCCTCCCCCTGTGACATAATGCACTTGTTCCCTGTGAGAAGGCTCCTTGAAAGTCCTCTGGTTGTAGGTTTCTCAGCTGCCCCGTCGTAGCTTTTTTTATCTCATTTATGTCCCCCAAATGCCGCCCCCGAAGTACCAATTTGGTTTTTGGGAACAAGAAGAAGTCACACGGGGCCAAATCCTGCGAATAGGGGTGTTCGGTCACCGTAATGGAATTTTTACTCAAAAACTCACGAACAACAAGAGAGGTGTGGGCAGGGGCATTGTCGTGGTGAAGAATCCAACGCCCCTCTCGCGCCAATTCTGGACGAACTCGAATCTGCCACACGAGCTTTGAGGCGTCTGAGCACATCGACGTAGAATTTTCCATCAACTGTCTGGCCTGTGTTCGTCGGAATGTGAAGTGGAAGGACGTCCTGAACGTGGGTCATCTTGAACGCTTTCTCGGCCCTCTCTGAATCTTTTTAGCCACTTGTGGACGGTTGGTTCCTTCACAGCATCATCCCCATAAACTGTTCTGAGATCGGCAAAAATTTCACGGCCATTCTTGCCGAGTTTCGAGAGAATCTTGATTACGACGCGCTGCTCTTCAACGGAAGCGGGCTCCATGCCGACGGGGTTTCGTTAAGAGGTAACTTCACAGATGGCGTGACAAGCCAGTTTCACCGCACGGCGGTCAGACCAGAACTGAAGCATTGTTAGGGACATAAGGAAGGGGTCCTGCGCTTACCTGGCCTCCCCACTCTCTCTCTCTCTCTCGCATTCCAGAACACTTTTATACGAACTTTCCGGACAGACCTCGTATTGTATTGAAATGTTTCGCTGTATCTTATGTTGGTGATCCTATAAATAAATAAATAAATATTGACAGGAAGCACACGACCCTGCTGAGTCACCTGCGGCTGCTGCACCCGTCGCCGCACATCTGCAGCGTCTGCGCCAGGAGTTTCGTCAGCGCCAATGGACTCAGGCAGCACAAGACTGTCGCGCACAAGGTATCAACTGAACACTCTCTCTGGGGGGGGGGGAAAGGGATTGTTAGTAATGGAGACTGAGAATCCCATTGCTAGCAATATGCCCAACCAGTCGACCTCCTCGCTGTTCCCCCTGGAAACTATCATGGTTAATTCCTGATGAATTCATCACGATGTGCTAACTGGCCTGTTTTCATTCTCATCTATCACCCTTCACTGGTGCTCGCCGGCGTATCCCATTAGCGCGGGCGGGGATACCATACCATTTTAACCCATCCAAAAAAACACTCCCTCTCTCTCCGTCCACTTCATTACTGAAGGTCGTCTCCTTGAAATGTGTCTGTTGCCTCTCTTATGATGTTACTCCATTTCGCACGGTCTTCAGCCTCTCGCAGGGCAGCTACAATTGACAGTCCCGTAACGGCGGTTACTTGGTTCGACCATCGACTAAGCGATCGTCCGCGTGGTCTTTTCCCCCCTATCTTTCCTACAACCATTAGCTTGTCCATACTGTCGGACTGTCGCCAAGCAATATGACCGAAGTATCCAAGAATCCTCCGATAGCGGACTGTCGAGAGCCCATCTTTTATGCGGAGTTGCGTCAGGATAGATGTTCGTGCGCTTTGCTGTTCAGGGAATTCGCAGCATCCTTGGTCAGCAGCACACGATATTAAAATAAACTAAACACGATACACGTGCCGCAAAACGTGCGTGGACAAATATTGGTTGATATGTTACGGAAAATGGAAGTGATGGTAGTAGTAGAGGCGGTTAATGTTCGAGTGTTGGTAGTCGCAAGTTTTTTTTTATACAACTTAGAATGGCAAACAAGCTAACGTCCCGCCTGATGTAAAGTGGTAACCGTCGCCTATAGACATGAGCAGTACCATGGACATAACAGAGTGTACTGTTTCGCCCGTGACACCCCCCATGCGTTGCCATTCCTGAGGACTCAGGTGTTATTCCTCTGTACCCAGTAAATTCACGCCATATCGCACCCTTCAAACCGAAACACAGCCATGCAAACAACTGCTTCACGGTTGAAACACGAATGGGACAGAGGTGCACAAGCAAACGACTTTTGTGCAAAGTCTCCCTCTGATGTCGATTGACTCGTGTGTTGTAAAAAACCGTGATCTCAGGAACAGTGCGTGAGCGACAAGGAGGGCACCAGGTGTGAGGAGTGCGACATAGTGTTCGCGTCGCGGAATGTCTACACGCGGCACGTGCTGACCACGCCCAGACACGCGGACGCCGCCAAGTCCATGTAAGTTCTGACTAGATTTTTTTTTTATATATTTTTTTAATATTATTTCAGCCGATAATTGTCCACAGCTGGACATAAGCCTTCCCCATAAGGGGAGTTCTGCCAGTATTTGCCACGCTTGGCAGGCGAGTTGGCAACCGCAGTTAGGCTTTAGAGATGTTTTAAGAGGGACGCTGCTGTCCATCCCTCGTCGTCCCTTAGTCGCCTCTTAAAACATTTTCGGATAAGGAAGGGGTGGCCCAATCTTTCTTTATAAATATATCCATTATAACAAAATTTTATAAAGATTTTCAATGGATTTATCTCTAGATTCTTCCAGTCAACCCAAGTTTTCTCGTTAGCGGGCAGCTGAAGTGCTACAACTATTAATACATAAACAAATATACAGTTAAATGAAATATTAAAATATGTAATAAATTATTTATTTATTTATTACATCCAAATATAAAAGTCTTCCAATACGCAATGACAGGAAAGCATTGACAATAACATATAAAAAGGTATATTACACTAAAATAATAAACAAAAATAATATAAAAAGATTTAACTCAAACAAGAAAGTTGAACACAAACACTCTGTGGTCACTCGACGAGACTCGCCATGTTGGAGGCAAATACATCCATTGCGAACAAATACTGGCTCAAAATATCATCGAGTAGTTTCAATGCGAGAGATAGGGGGCCGCTTAAACTCTGTTCTTCGTAATGGATTTTCATCGAATTTTGCCGTCGACGTGCTCGCACGTAGTTACTGGGCGCTCCTATTGATATTGATTCCAGTACAGTTTGGTTACATTTTTATACATACACTATAAATAAATATAATACCTACCTACTTATATAATAAACGTTAAAATAAATGAATATACTACCTACATTTTTTATATGCCTGTTAAAATTTACAAGTGACAAAGCAATTGCTATGTAAAAGATTTTTTGTACTACAATAATGACAAACGCATATAGAGTCTGATGGTAAAGCGATTACCGTTGCTTATGGACGCCCCTTGCTAACTTGTCCTAATAGAAATTTACCAAAGGCGTCACAGTATATCCCCTGTGGTGTTCATGTATAAATTTGTTAAAAATCTTCCTTGATTTCAGCATAGGCTGTACAGTTTGCGGTGAACAGTTTGACACTAGAGAGATGCTGGAACAGCACTCCCATAAAGAGCCCAAGAGGGGGGGAGACAGGGTGAAGGACTTGAAGTGTAGCGAGGTAAGGCTTCACATACTTTGTGGTTGGAACAAAACAATAATAAATGTCTATTAAGAATTAAAAATTCAATTGTAAATTATATTTATATTATGTAACATATAAAAATGTACCTTATTTCAGCAAATAAATAAAATCTAATTCTAATTCAATGATCAAACTTGGCCAAACTGAATCGATCTTGGTCAAATTGGATCGAACTTGGTCAAATTGGATCGATCTTGGTCAAATTGGATTAAACTTGGTCAAATTGGATCAAACTTGGTCAAATTGGATTGAACTTGGTCAAATTAGATCAAACTTGGTCAGATTGGATCGAACTTGATCAAATTGGATTGAGCTTGGTCAAATTGGATCAAACTTGGTCAAATTGGATCGAACTTGGTCAAATTGGATTGAACTTGGTTAAATTGGATTGAACTTGGTCAAATTAGATCGAACTAGGTCAAATTATACCAAACTTGGCCGAATTGGTCCAAATTTAAAATAAAAATATTCATCTATTTAGATATTTTGATTTTTAACTTCATCAAACTGAGATTGGGCGTCTTGTTCATCGCGTTTCTTCTTCCTCTTTGCTTGGGTACCTCTGTCCCATTCGTGTTTCAACCGTGAAGCAGTTGTGTTTGCATGGCTGTGTTTCGGTTTGAAGGGTGGGATATGGCGGTGAATTTACAGGGAACAGAGGAATCAGGAATGGCAACTGGTGGAGGGTATCATGGGCGAAACAGTACACTCTGTTATGTCCACGGTACTGCTCATGTCTATAGACTAGTTTGCTATTCTAAGTTGCATAAAATTTTTTTGTACATTAAGTTTATACATAGATAGATAATTTATTTACATTACTTACAGCACACAAATAACAATACAAACATACATAGTAGAAAGAGATGAAAGAAAGCATATACAAAAAGAAAAAGCAAAATATATGAAACAAGTAACTTTTTTCTTCTTTCACGCGTGTGCCATAGTAACACAAAATGATCACAACACAGTTTATTGTTTTTTGTTTTATTTTTTTTGTTGTTTAATTAAATTTTCCTATTTATTGTTGACCTGCAGTGTGGAGAGCACTTCACCCACTCGTCGAGCCTGTACCACCACTTCGTGAAGGCGCACCCCGGTATACCGTACCGCCTGGCCGGCAGCCGCCATCTGCTTTGCGAGACCTGCGGCAGGACTTTCAATGTGAGTCTTGTTTGTTATTATTATTATTTTTATTTCTGCCATTAACTGTCCACTGCTGGACGTAGGATTCCCACTATTGGGGTATTTTGCCAGTAGTTGCCACGGTTGGCAGGCGGGTCAGCAACAGCAGTTAAGCTTGTGTGATGTTTTAAGAAGGACGCCGCTGCCCATCCTTAACTCTCCCTTAGTCGCCACTTACGACACCCACTCCTGCCACTTCCCTGATGTCATTGTCCCATCTTATGAAGGGTCTGCCTCTTTTCCTTTTGCCTTCCATGGGATACTCTAAATTTACTAAGGTAGTAGTGAACTAAAACGTTAATTATAGAATATGTTGCAACTTGTTGTCCCCTAACGTTCCCCCCGTGTCCACCAGTGCATGGACTCGTCCTCTAATGTTCCCGCTGTGTCCTCCAATGCGTAACTCGTCTCCTAATCTTGCCCTCGTGTCCTCTAGCACATGAGTTTATCTTCTAACGTTCTTTCTATATCACCTAATATGTGGGCTCGTTCTACCCTACTGTTCCCACTTTATTCCTCATTGCTTGAATTTGTTAACTCCTAATGTTTCTTCTGTCTCTCAAAGCATGAGTTATAGTTAATGCGCACATTAACGTTCACCCCGTGTCCCCAGTGCGTGTTCTCTTTATCCCCTAATGTCTCCAATGCCTGTTCTCGTTATCCGCTAACGTCCCCCGTGCCCCCAGTACGTGTTTTCGTTGTAACGTCCTCACCTTACTCCCTTGTGTGTATTCTCATTGTCCCCTAACATTCTCCTCGTATCCCCAGTGCGTGTTCTTTTTGTCCTCTAACGTCTCTCCGTGTCCCCAGTGCGTGTTCTCGTTGTCCCGCCGTGTCCCCGTGCGTTTTGTGATTGTTCCCTAACGTCCTTCCTTATTTCCAGTGCGTGTTATCGTTTTTCACCCGTACCCCCAGTGTGTGTTCTCCTTGTCCCCTAATATCTCGTGTTCTCGTCGTCCCCTAACCTTTCCCCGTGTCGGCATGCGTGTTATCGTTGTCCCCCGTGTCGACAGTGCGTGGGCTCGCTGGTGTCGCACGCGCGGTCGCACAGCGGCGAGCGTCCGTTCGCGTGCGACGCGTGCGACAAGACCTTCCGCACCAAGCAGACGCGCGACAAGCACGCCACGCGGCACGACCTCGCGCGGCGCCACGCCTGCCGCGTCTGCGGCAACCTTTACAGCAACAAGACCAACCTTTTCCGACACAAGCAGGTCAGTGCCACTAGCGACCCGCTCCGGGTTCGCACGACTCTTCTGCAGTCCGTTTTTTTACAACAAACATGACAAACATGCATGTGACTCACCTGATGGTAAGTGACTACCGCCGGCCTAGATCACCCACAACACCAAAGACATTGCTAGTGTGCTGTCGGCCTTTTAAAAAGGAATATGCTCTTTTCTTGAAAGTTATGTTGTCGTATCGGTTCAGAAATACTGCTGCTGTTGAAGTTGATTCCAAAAAGTGGTTGTGCGTGGAAGAAAGTGCCTTTAAAAACGCACGGTGGAAGATCGCCACTCGTCCAGATGGTTGAGATGGAACTTTAGTTTATGGCGGGTTGTACGGTGGTGAAAATCAGCAGCAGGTATCAATCCGAGCAATTCCTCAGAGCACTCCCCATGATAAATTCGGTAGAAGATGCAATAACATGATGTTATCTTATATTCGCGTATGGGGTCAGCTAATTCATTACACGTCGACCCATCGGGATCTATTGTGCTTCCCCCTGCCTTATACCATCATTTCATAGATCCTATGTGTTACCCTAACGATATCCCACGGTTTAAGATGTTTATAGTCCTCTGGCTCCGGATAAGCCGTTCCCAGTAGACTCATACGCATGCTTGTCAACGAATCGCAGTTGCACATCAAGTCTTCCATGTTATCAGCTGCTGTATTTTTTTATAGATGAAGAAAATTCTAAAATCGATCAAATAATTTTTAAGTTCATTCCGTACAAACAAAAAGTATTTTTTTTCTCTCTTAAAAACACGAATGGTACAGAGGTGTCCAAGCAAACGACTTTTGTACAAAGTCTCCCTCTGTTATTTACATGAAGAAAATGGTTAGTGTATATTTAACCATATACAGTAGAATCTTGATTATCCGGATATTCGATTATCCGGACTTATTATTCACAGCTCTAATTACCGATTTAGAAATAGTATTATGTATTAATTGGTTAAATAGGTATTATGTAATCAATTATATTTATACTACTGTCAAAATGACGTATGTATAACCCTTTACATAATAAAAAAATATATTTAAATTTAATTATTGTTTATTTTGACTTTAGAATCGATTATCCGGAATTTCGATTATGCATAATACGCTTAGTTTTATTTGATTCGAATAATCGAGATTCTACTGTAAGAATGATTTAGCATGTCACCAGTGAGGGATGATAGGTGAGAATGAAAAGGTGGGTCAGTTAGCCCATCGTGATGAATACGCTTGGAATTCAGCACGATGGTATCCAGGGGGAGCACGGGTAGGTCGAGCTGGTTGAATATATTGCTAGCAATAGGGCTCTTAAAAATCTCTTCTCCCCCCCCCTCCCCCCCCCCCCCCTCCATACTATACATTATCCATTTGTACTTCATCTAGAGAAATGGTATAGAAATAAAAACTAAGTACGGTCCATGATTTAGAACACGTTTAGTAAATTAATAATTAATTAAAACATTAGGTTATGAGGTTAATTCCCAAAGAGGGTTGACGTCAGGCAGGCGGCCGGTCGTAAAACTATAAGCCAAACCTTTTTGTAATATGGATAAAACCATATTACGCCGACCACAAATAATAATTGGCATGATCAGGTTATGAGAAATGATCCCTCTGAGTCGATACCAATTTTTTTTTATACAACTTAGAATGGCAAACAAGCTGACGGCCCACCTGATGTAAAGTGGTAACCGTCGCCTATAGACATGAGCAGTACCATGGACATAACAGAGTATACTGTTTCACCCATGATACCCCCCATGCGTTGCCATTCCTGAGGAATCAGGTGTTATTCCTCTGTACCCAGTAAATTCACACCATATCCCACCCTTCAAACCGAAACACAGCCATGCAATCACAACCGCTTCACGGTTGAAACACGAATGGGACAGAGGTACCCAAGCAATCGACTTTTGTACAAAGTCTCCCTCTGGTAAATGTGTGTTTGTATTTTGCTAGGTACACAGCGGCATCCGCAAACACCGGTGTGACATGTGCGACAAGTCGTTTGTGGACGGCTCCAACCTCCGCCAGCACGTGCAGGGGGTCCACTACAACATACGGAGGGTCCGCAAGAGGTAGACCCCTTTAGTACCCCAGGGTTCCGGTATAATATAGCAAGGGTCCGAAGAGATTCCTCTAGTACTATAGGGGTCTGCTACCGCAAACGCAAGGGCCAGAAAAAATAGGCCCCTTCAGTACCCCAGGGTTCCTATACAACACATAGGTTTCACCACAGATAGATTCCTAAGGGGTACAAAGGGTCCGCTAAAATAGGACCCCCTCCGTACCCTAAGGAATTCGCTACAGCATATTCAGGGTACACGGATTAGATGCAATGCTTTTGAATATCGACCGCATATAAACATGCGCAGTATTACAAAAAGCAGTATATAAATTTAAAAAAAATTAAAGCATTATCTTGACTAGAAGCCAGTTACGAGGTAGACAGAGAAATGTAAATACGTACACGCATAAATTTAATATTATGCATTATGTAGAAATATAAATATATAAATTAATAAAAATGTTATTTAAAATATCTTTTATTTCATTTTAAATGGATGACTATTTATTTGCAAGAAACATGGTAAGTATGACCACATGGTCCCGGCATAGAATAAGCCACCCATTCCTTTCCCGTGGGTGTCGTAAGAGGCGACTAAGGGAGAGCGAGGTATGGGTAGTAGCGTCCCTCTTAAAACATCTCCAAAGCCTAACTGCGGTTGCCAATTTGCCTGCCAAGCGTGGCAACTGCTGGCAGAACCCCCCAAGGGGAGGCTTATGTTCAGCAGTGGACGATCAAAGGCTGATATGATGGTAAGTATACAGGGTGTTACTGTTAAGTCCACATTTGTCGCCAGAATTATTAGTGCAATATTTATTTTTAAAACATATCTGAAGGGAAACTATAATCTCCCTTCTGACGACAGAATTTTCTTGAGTTTGTGGTGTTAGCCCTTAGACGAGTCCTAGGCCCTCACCAACACTGTATTGGACTGTACTGTAATGGACGATGTTTCGTTTTTTTTTATACAACTTAGAATGGCAAACAAGCTGACGTTCCACCTGATGGAAAGTGGTAACCGTCGCCTATACACATGAGCAGTACCATGGACATAACAGAGTATACTGTTTCGCCCATGATACCCACCATGCGTTGCCATTCCTGAGGACTCGGGTGTTATTTCTCTGTACACTGTAAATTCACGCCATATCCCATCCTTCAAACCGAAACACAGCCATGCAAACACAACTGCTTCACGGTAGAAACACGAACGGTACAAAGGTGGCCAGGCAAACGACTTCTGTACAGTCTCCCTCTGGTAAATGTGGTCCTTATGGCAGTTTACCATTGAGAGGAATTTGAGTTGCCACGCTTGAAAGGCGAGTTAGCAACTACATTTCACATAAGTTACATTTTTAATGGATGATAATGGAACGTAACCCCGCCTGCGCTATCGGTATACACTGGCGAGGTACCAGTGAGAGATGATAGGTGAGGATGAAAAGGCAGGTCAGTTAGCCCATCGTGATGAATACACCTGGAATCCAGCACGACCTGATCGAGTATATTACTAGTAATAGGTGTCTTAGTTTCCATTACTAACCCCCCCCCCCCCTTAGAGGGGAAAGGGATTGTTAATAATGGAGTCTAAAAATCCCATTGCTAGCAATATACCCAACCAGGTCGACCTCCTCGCGGTTCCCCCTGGAAACTATCATGGTTAATTCCTGATGAATTCATCATGATGCGCTAACTGGCCTGTTTTCATTCTCATCTATCACCCTTCACTGGTGCTCCGCCAGCGTATCCCGTTAGCGCGGGCGGGGTTACCATACCATTTTCACCCATCAACCCCCCCCCCTCCATACTATACATTATCCATTTGTACTTCATCTAGAGAAATGGTATAAAAATAAAAACTAAGTTCGGTCCATGATTTAGAACACGTTTATTAATCACGACTGTAGCACTTTGTGTTTCTCCACCACGTCCCTGGTGTCGGGCGCGAGGGTCGGCAGCTTGCTGCTGATGAAGAAACGGAGCGTGTCCCGGAGGGGCGCCGGGAAGAACGGCTCCTCGATCACGTCGGCGAGCGCCGCAAAGCAGCCAGGCAGCAGCCAGCGAATCTTGTAGTCTTTGTTCTCAGACTAGAACAAATATATTTATTATAACTGATCATACATTTATATGTGGTCCCGGCATAGAATGGACCACCCCTTGCTTTCCCGTGGGTGTCGTAAGACGCGACTAAGGAAGGACGAGGGATGGGCAGCAGCGTCCCTCTTAAAACATCTCCAAAGCCTTATCTGCAGTTGCCAACCCATTTGCCAAGCGTGATAACTACTGGAAACCCGTATGGGGGAGGTCTATGTCCAACAGTGGACAGTTAATAACTGAATATGAAATTTTACTTTAAACATTTTTTTTTATGTAATTTACAATACAGGCAAACAATCTGACGGCCCACCTGATGGTAAGTGATAACCGTCGTCTATACACATGAGCAGTACCATGGACGTAACAGAATACTGTTTCGCCCATGATACCCCCCATGCGTTGCCATTCCTGAGGACTCAGGTGTTATTCCTCTGTACCCTGTAAATTCACGCCATATCCCACCCTTCAAACCGAAACACAGCCATGCAAACACAACTGCTTCACGGTTGAAAAACGAATGGGACAGAGGTGCACAAGCAAACGACTTTTTGTACAAAGTCTCCCTCTAGTAAATATAGTACAATAAAATTGTACAATTAAATATAATACAATAAATACTGGGTCTCTGACGGGTTTAATTCGCTACTGTAATCAAGTACTGCCGCTTTACGGCAGAAACACGAACGGGACAGAGGTACCCAAGCAGAGAACACAAAGTGTAGTGTATATCATACCTTGATAAGTCCAAGAGCCTTCAGCATACAGTTGGCCAGCAGCCAGGCGGCCGCGTGCTGCTGCCCGGCACGAGTCAGCAGTTTGGGGAACATTTGCCGCCCGAGGGCGTTGCAGACGCCGGCCGCGCAGAACGTCGCCTCTACGTAAGCTTGGATCAGCTCTGATGGCTCCCTGATTGACTGACCAACATACACAATCATTAAATACCAGTTATATACCGCGGTTTCGCCCGCACAAATCAGTACATACAGTATCCTATGTTCTGGGGGGAAGGGTTTGTTAGTAATGGGGACAACCAGTGCCATTGCTAGCAATACACCCTGTCAGGTCGACCCCCACGTGGTCCCCGCTGGAAACCAACGTGCTGAATTCCTGGTGTATTCATCGCGATGTGCTAACTGACCTGTTCCCTTAGCAACTGCATTGCCCCCTTTGGGGGGAAAGGGTTTGTTAGTATTGGGGATCTAACTGACCCGTTGCCGGCAACACGCCCTATCAGGTCGACCTCCACGTTTTTCCCCTTGCAAACCATCGTGGTTAATTCTAGTGGAATTCGCCTATGATGGGCTAACTGACCTGCTTCATCCTCACCTATCATACCTCACTGGTGCCCCGCCGGTGTATACCGATAGCGCGGGCGGGGTTACCATTCCATTATCACCCAAAAAAAAAAAAAAAGAAAAACCCTATGTTTTAATTTTGGTAATAACTTGTCTGTGTATAAAATTGAATGTATTTACGTTTAGTGGTTTTTGTATGAAAGAATAATAGACATCCATCTATTTTGACAAATTTTTAGGGTTAGATTATTTTATTTATTTATTTATTTAATAATAATATAAATATAATTCCAGAGGGAGACTTTGTACAAAAGTCGATTGCTTGGGTACCTCTGTCCCATCCGTGTTTCTACCGTGAAGCAGTTGTGTTTGCATGGCTGTGTTTCGGTTTGAAGGGTGGGATATGACGTGAATTTACTAGGTACAGAGGAATAACACCTGTGTCCTCAGGAATGGCAACGCGTGGCGGGTATCGTGGACGAAACAGTATACTCTGTTATGTCCATGGTACTGCTCATGTCTATAGGCGACGGTTACCACTTTCCAATATTGAAAATGAATGATGTTTGTAAAAGATAAAGGCTTTTGGTACGATTTTATTATTTTTAATTAACAAATTTTATATAAAAAAAAATCAGAAAAAAATTAAATAATTCATATTAAAAATAATTTACAAAATGTCATGCAAAAAGTGATTTCCCATACCGGGAATCGAACCCGAGCCTCCTGGGTGAAAGCCAGGTATCCTAGCCACTAGACCATATGGGATGTGAGGGACCAATCGAAATTTACGTAAACAATCAAAACAGATTGAATAATATGATTAAGAAAAACAAACATAAAAATACCAATATTGCCTACTAGCTGTATCCTGTGGCTTCGCCTGTATGATTCAATTAATAAACTATGCTTTACGCATGGGTAATATCAGTCCAATTCCGATATGTATATATTGGGTTTTTTTTAGACATTGATGGCGGAAAAAGGGTCATCACCCATTCCAATATCGCCCATATCGGTCGGATATCTGTATTTTGATGGAATTTTTCATGACGTGTAGGACTCCCCCCCCCACTAGATGGAGTGATGACTTGAAATGCATTGCAGGGAGTCCATAGATGCAGGTGGCTCAGGACCGTTCCTTACGACAGTCTACGAGGAAGGGGGAAAAGGGATTGTTAGTAATGGAGTCTGACTGCCCCATTGCTAGCAATCAGGTTGACCTCCACGCGGTTCCCCCTGGTAACCATCATGGATAATTATTTATCAATTCGTCATGATAAACTAACTGACCTTCATCCTCACTTATCATCACTCACTGGTGCCCCGCCGGTGTATACCGATAGCGCAGGTTACCATTTTATTGTGATCCATTGAAAAAAAGTCTATGGGGAAGGCTTATGTCCAGCAGTGGACAAATAACGAAAGAAACCAGTATTACCTGTAAGTGGGCGTCTATAACATCTGCCGCGTTGGGTCCCAGCCTGTCGAGGTTGGCAGCGGTGGGCTCCTGCAGGAACCTGCCCACGTCTGTCACCACTTCCTCCACACCTGAAATGAAATAATATCAATGTGGTTTCTGCTTAACAGGACATACAAAACCCTGTAATGTAACTAACTACGTTTGTATAAAGAAATTTATTATTATTATTAAAAAAAAAAAAATGTATAAAATAAAAAAAAATTCTGGAAAAATTGTGGAATGAGCTCCCTGCCGAGGTTTTCCCAAGAGACTACAGCATGGGGTTCTTCAAAAGGGGGGTAAAGAGGTTTCTACAGGGTCGGCAACGCGCGCGTAACACCTCCGGTATTGCAGGCGTTCATAGACTACGGTAACCACTTACCATCAGGTGGGACGTATACTTGTTTGCCACCTCAGTGGTATTAAAAAAAAAAGTTTCCTATTGCAACCTTATGGAGGGAACAATAAAGTGTACATACATACATACATACATACATATCTGTCACGCCTGTCTCTCATTACGGTAGGCAGAAACAATGGAACGCCAAATGCTTCGATTCAAACGAACCTCTTTCGCTTCCTCCACATTCATCAATCTTGTCATACACGCTCGCCGGTTACGGGTACTTTTAATTTGGCCCTTCTTCAGCACGTCGCCTGTTCGGTCGACATACGTCCGTCTAGGGTGGCACCTACCGACATCTCCATTCATTGTTGGTCGATAAATCTCTTTCGTAATTCTTCTTTCATCCATCCTCTTCAAATGACCAAACCAACGCAACATTCCTTTTTCGACGTTAAGTGTATCTATCTATCTATATATATATATATACACCAACCTGACGTGTCCAAGGTGATATCTTTGACTATATCGGCTGCACTCGAGTCGATGTGCTGAGCATCTTCTGTGGCGCTGTCTTCCGAGTTGTCCTCGGATTCCTCCTCTTCTTCTTCTTCATCAGAATCCGTTGCATCTGGAGAAGATAATTTGATAGCGTGTTTATTTAAAACAGTCAATTACAGAATTGCTTATCTACGGTCCCCATATGGGTCGATCCTGTATCCGAAGGACCAATTAAACACATATAACTTGATACAATTGTATTTTATTTATTTATTTATTCATTAGTACATATATGTCTGCATGGTGGACTTAATGCTAAAAGCGTTCTCTCCCAGTCAACCATAGGTAAGTGTCAGAATACTCGAATGAGGTACTAGTAATTATTGACATATGATATACATACTAAAATTACATATATAAACGAATAAATATATATAAATAACATAATATATTCACACGAAATTGAGAATAATATACCAATAGTTTCCGCAGCGAAAGACGACGACAGATATAGCATATTTTCTTCAATATTTTTACACGCGATCAAAGAGCATTTTTTTACGTTACTAAAGTTTTAGTAAGGATCCCTAATCTTTTCTAGCAATAAATATAGCCTATGTTACTCAGGGTGAATGTAGCTTTCTAATGGTGAGAGAATTTTTGAAATCCGCAAAGTAGTTTTTGTGTTTATTCATTACAGACATACATACACACAAAAATACAAATATTTCCTCTTTATAATATTAGTGTAGAAGTGTAGATTAGAGAGATGGTGTCTACCGTCGCTGTCGTCGCCGTCGCTGAGTTCAGCGCAGGATCCGAGCCGCTCGCGCATCGTCTTCTTGTTGGCGGCGCCGCCCAAACTGTTGCCTGCGGTACAAATATAAAATATTTATTTATTTATTTATTCATTAAAAAAAATTACAACATTACTAGTGTGCTAACATACAAAATTAAAATAAAAGTATAAAGGGAGACTTTGTACAAAAGTCGTTTGCCTGGATACCTCTGTCCCACGTGTTTCAACCGTGAAGCAGTTGTGTTTGCATGGCTGTGTTTCGGTTTGAACGGTGGGATATGGCGTGAATTTACTGGGTACAGAGGAATAACACCTGAGTTCTCAGGAATGGCAACGCATGGGGGGTATCATGGGCGAAACAGTATACTCTGTTATGTCCACGGTACTGCTCATGTCTATAGGCGACGGTTACCACTTTCCATCAGGTGGACCGTCAGCTTGTTTGACATTCTAAGTTGTATAAATTTTATACCACTATAGAAGAAACGGATTGTTAGTAATGCGATACTACTAGTCCCATTGCTAGTAATATACCCTGTCAGGTCGACCTCCACACGGTCCTACTTTCAAACCATCGTGCTGAATTCCATGTGTATTCATCACGATTGGCAAACTGACCTGCCTTTTCATCCTCACCTATCATCCCTCACTGGTGCCCTGCCAGTGTATACCGATAGCACGGGCGAGGTTACCATTTTATTATCATTCGGTCAGGTCGAAATCCAAGCATATAACTACAAAATAACATGAGAAACTACAGAATAACATGAGTAACTACTGAATAACATGAGAAACTACAGAATAACATGAGAAACTACAGAATAACATGAGAAACTACAGAATAACATGAGAAACTACAGTTTGGCATTCTTCAAATGGGGGGTAAAGAGGTTTTCAGGGTTGGCAACGCACGCGAATACCCCTGGTATTGTAGGCGTTTATAGACTACGGCAGGAGTTCCCAAATTTATTTTATCTACTACCCACTTTGAGAATAAATTATTTATTTATTTATTTATTACATCCACTGGGTGAGCCTTGCAGTCTTCCAATACGCTCACCCAGGAAAGCATCAGTACAATAACATATAAAAAGGTATATTACACTAAAATAATAAACAAAAATAATATAAAAAGATTTAACTCAAACAAAAAAACGTGTGAACACAAACACTCTGTGGTCACTCGACGAGCCTCCAGCAAGTTGGAGGCAAATACATCCAATTGCGGATACTGGCTTAAATTATTTTTCAACGCCCCCCCATTTTTTCACTTACTAAACCACTATTACTTCAAGATCAGCAAATTACCCCCCAATCTACACAACACCTCCATTTCTTTCTGGGTCCCTTACCGCCCCCCTTTAGGCCCGCAGCGCCCACAAGGGGGCGTTATCGCCCAACTTTGATAAAGGCTGGACTACAGTAACCGCTTACCATCAGGTGGCCATATGCTTGTTTACCACCTCAGTGGTATAAAAAAATAAGTATCAGGGGGTGAATTGGTTAAAGAAATTGCACTGCTCACCGGCAAGCACGACCCTGGCCAGCCTGGAGGCGCTGTCCTGTGTGGGTGTGATGGCGTCCACTAGCTCCATCACCGCCTCGCGGCCGATCTCGTTGTGGCTCACGTCCAGGGACTGAAAGATGCAATATTAACGTGAATACAGCTTCATGGAACAGATGCTCCTACCTTCATCATCATTTCAGCCATTATCTAACAACTGAGAATTCACCAACCTATTAGCAAAGGAGGGGGAGATTGTTACTAATGGAAACTAAGAATCCCATTGCTAGCAACCAACCAACAAACCCAACCAGGTTAGGGGGGGAAAAGGATTGTTAGCAATGGAGTTTCACAGCCCCATTGCTAGCAATATACCTTATTAGGTCGACCTCCACGTGGTTCCATCTGGAAACCATCGTGAACAATTCTTGTTGAATTCGTCACGATGGGCTAACTGGCCTGCTTCATCCTTATCTATCATTCTTCACTGGTGCCCCGCCGGTGTATACCGATAGCGCGGGTGGGGTTAACATTCCATTATCATCCATTTAAAAAAAAAACCAACCAGTTCGACATCCATGCGCTTCCCCCTGGAAACTATCATGGTTAATTCTTTTTTTTTTCTCGGCAATTCCTGATGAATTTATCACGACGGCCAAACTGACCTGCTTTCATCCTCGCCTTATCGTCCTTCACTGGTGCCTTACCAGCGTATACCCATGGCGCGACGGGGGAAAAGGGATTGTTAGTAATGGAGCCTGAGAATCCTATTGCTAGCAATATACCCAACCAGGTCGATCTCCACACTGTTTATACTTGAAACTATCATGGTTAATTCCTGATGGATTCATCATGATGGGCTAACTGGCCTGCTTTCATCCTGTCATCTCTCACTGGTGCTCTGCAAGCGAATACCGTTAGCGCGGGCGGGGTTACCATAACATTTTCACCCATCAAAAAAAAAACTCTAACGCTTTGGAATTATAATTTTTGTTTGTATAAGTAAAATCCGTTATTGGCTGTATTCATAAGAGACTTAGCATGTAAGTTGTGTTTTTAAGAGCTGTAGATTTTTGTATAAAAAATAAATAAATAAATGAAAGCAGGCCAGTTGGGCCGTCGTGACGAACTCGCCAGGTACTGGCCATTATAAAATACACTGTTACGCCCATGGTGCTAACGCATTGCCACTCCCTCGGACTTACCTCTAGCAATGCAGTGTTGTCTTTGAACGCCTTCGCCAACGCCCTCGCTCCCTTACTCTTCAGTAAGCAGTCACCGAAGTTAATTGATTTCAAATTTTTCAACCTAAAAATTGAAAGACATGTGTCTTTGATTATATTAGATAGACTATCTCCATACAAATGCTTCGAGAACAGCGAATCAACTTTTTCATACAATTTTGCAGGATAATTTTTTTTTTCTTGTTTTACACAATTTAGAATGGCAAACAAGCTGACGGCCCACCTGATGGGAAGTGGTAACCGTCGCTTATACACATGAGCAGTACCGTGGACATAACAGAGTATACTGTTTCGCCCATGATAACCCCCCATGCGTTGCCATTCCTGAGGACTCAGGTGTTAGTCCTCTGTACCCTATAAATTTACTGCCATATCGCACCCTTTAAACCGAAACACAGCCATGCAAACACAACTGCTTCACGGTAGAAACACGAATGGAACAGAGGTGGCCAAGCAATCGACTTTTGTACAAAGTCTCCCTCTGGTGGATGTTTCATGTCGATACGTCATTTAAAAATGCTATATGGCATTGATTTGGCTACTTCTAGAATCGACGCAGACAAAGCAATAGGCAATAAACTAGTATTTTAAAGATAATATATGTCTTATGTCCACTGCTGGACATAAGCCTCCCCCTTAGGGGGTTTTACCAATAGATGCCACTCTTGGTAAGCGGGCTGGCAACCGTAGTTGGACATAACAGTGTATGTTTCGCCCATGATACCCCCCATGCGTTGCCATTCCTGAGGACTCAGTGATTCCTTTATAACTTCCATATTTATTTTGTCTTATAATTTCTGCATCTTGTTTAATGCGTAAACACTCATTTTATTTATTAAATAATACGTCAAGATACATTGTGTGCGTAAGTATATAGAACACTGATAAAAACAACGAGTCAATTTGACAATTAGCTGACAAAAAGTTAAGCCGTTTTTGAGGCTCGATGCTCTATCTATATACGAGTATAATCTAAGGTGCATATATCAAGAGAGGAACTGGCTGAAAACCAGCGCTGTGCAGCTGCACACTCTGCACTGGGACACTCGCAACATCAGCTGAGCCAGTTCCTTTGGCTTAATACAAGACACCTATACATGTAATATTTTTATATTTTCAGTTGCAATTATGTATTGTGAATGTGAATGTAAAAAAGACTCCATTTTCCGCGCTTAGCCTCTCATTTGGGCCGCTGTGCGTATGAGTCGTGGCTAGTACAGCCAACCTAGCTCCGCCCAGAAGCGCAGAAGCTTCCTGGTACCTTCACAGATCTCACGGAGCGACCTCACCGTTCCGAGGATTTCTAAACGTTGATGGGCCACAGCCTCGCATTCCAGGATTACGTGAGCAGCCGTTTGTTCGGCATCGAAACAGCCTCGACATAGAGGGCTGTCTGTGGCTCCTATTGTGTATAGATGTTTGTTTAATGGACAATGGCCCGTTATTGTCCCTATCATTATTTTGAGGTTTTTTCTAATTGCAATTATGTATTTCTATTCTATTATTTATTATTATAGTCGTGCGGTCCCTGCATAGAATAAACCACCCCTTCCTTTCCCATGAGCGTCGTAAGAGGCGACTAAGAGAATGTAATGGTAGAGGAATGGACAGCATCCTCTTAAAACATCACTGAAGCCTAACTGCTGTTGCCAACCCACCATTCGTGGTAAATACTGGCAAAACCCCCTTATGGGGGGATGGATGAAAATGGAATGGCAGCCCCGCCTGCGCTAGCGGTATACGCTGGCGGAGCACCAGTGAGGGATGATAGGTGAGAATGAAAAGACAGGTCATTTAGCCCATCATGATGAATTCATCAGGAATTAATCATGATAGTTTCCAGAGGGAACCGTGTCGAGGTCGACTTGGTTGGGTAAATTGCTAGCAATGGGAATCTCACTCTCCATTACTAACAGTCCCATACCCTCCCCCCCTCCTTATGGTGAATGTCTATGATCAGCAATGAACAGTGATGACCATTATGACGTGATGATGTAAGTAGATTATACATACGTGGGTAAAGCAGCAGCTATCGCCGCAGCGCCCTTCGCTCCAATCGTGTTATCGTTCAGGTTGAGACAGGCCAGCCTCGGGTTCTGTTTGAAGGCCTCCGACAGCGCCGAGATGCCCACGTGGTATATACCATTCTGGGGCATCGCCAGTTCCTCCAGTGTGCCCATTTGCTGAAATTATGAATAACCATTTATAATTTTTTTTTACACCACTGAGTTGGCAACCAGGCATACGGCTCACCTGATGATAAGCGGTTACCGTAGCCTATGAACATCTGCAATACCAGAGGTATTAAGCGCACGTTGCTGACCCTGAAGAAACCTCTTTACCCCACTTTTGATGAACCCCATGCTGTAGCATTTTGGAAAAATTTTGACAGACGGTAGGTGACGATAAAAGTATGTCTCTAAAAGTAGGCTAACTGACCTGCTTTCATCCTCACCTATCATCCTTCACTGGTGCCCCGCCGGTGTATACCGATAGCGCGGGTGGGGTTACCTTTCCATTATCACCCATTAAAAAAAAAACAGTATACTATCGCTCATGATACAAAATAAAAAAAAAAAAACAAATAGTCTATTGACTTGAACCCAAAAAAAGTTCATCAAAAATCACCCAAACAAATAATATAATTTGTAACATACCTGGAAGACCTTGGCCAGGGCTGTGGACCCTTCGTTTTCTAATCTATTCCGTCCCGCTATGAACACTTTCAGCTTCCTCGGGTTTGTGGACAGTGCTTTGGCTAGGAGACGAGCTCCGGATATGCCCAGCCCATTATTATTCAGCCTGAGCTCCTGAAAAATTAAAAATAATTAGGTTTTTTTCATAATTTTGGAAATTTCCATCATAACATTGAATGCCCAAAAATTATATAAAGGAACAAGTTCACTTTATGTTGATCGTGTCTGGATACCTTTTTAATGTCCATTGCAGAAAAAAAAACATAGCTATCACATTTATTTTTTTAACCATTTTTCTTTTAATTTTCAACATGAGTTATATGACCTTGATTTATTTCACCAATAAAAAAAAACATGCAAAGAAGAGTTAACATGGAATGGTAGCCCTGTCTGCGCTATCGGTATACGCTGGCGGGGCACCAGTGAAGGGTGACAGGTGAGGATGAAGGCAGGTCAGTTGGGCCATAGTGACCAATTGAACAAGAATTAACCTTTAGGTTGAAGTGGAGGGATTGTCAGTAACGCGAACTACCAGACCCATTGCTAGCAATATATTCCGTCAGGTCGACCTCCACGTGGTCCCCCTGAAAACCATTGTGCTGAATTCCACATGTATTTATCACAATGGGCTAACTAAATTGCTCTTTCATTTTCACTTATCATCCCTCACTGGTGCCCCGCCAGCGTATACCGATAGCGCAGGCGGGGTTACCATTCCATTATCACCCATTAAAAGAAAACCACTGTGGTTCCCAGAGGAACCGCGTGAAGGACGATCTGATAGGGTATATTGCTAGCAATGGGGCTGCTAAATCTCATTACTAACAATCCCTTTCCCCCAATATAACTAAGTTATTGCCAGATGGAGACACTGTACAAGTCTTTTACAAGGATGATATTGTTATTTTTAGTAAAATGAAAGTATCAGAGGACTTTGCTACAAAAGTCGTTTGCTTGGCCACCTCTGTCCCATTCGTGTTTCAACCGTGAAGCAGTTATGTTTGCATGGCTGTGTTACGGTTTGAAGGGTGGAATATAGCTGTAAATTTACAGGGTATAAAGTACACCCGAGTCCCAAGCAACACATGGCGGGTATCATGGGCGAAAGAGTATACTCTGTTATGTCCATGGTACTGCTCATGTCTATAGGCGACGGTTACCACTTTCCATCAGGTGGGTCATCAGCTTGTTGGCCATTTTAAATTGCATTAAAAAATTATTAATTGGTACCTGCAGATGGTCACACACGTCACTCTGCAGCAGTTTGACGAGCCCCTCGACGCCAATAGGTCCGAATGCATTGTCACTCAAATCCAGCACCGAAAGCCTCGCACCTGCCGCTATCATGCCATCACCGAGGGCGCTCTGGAATTGGACGAAACAGTTTTAGCTACAATCCTGTAATGTAATGTAGATTGGACTCTATTTTCCGCGCTTAGACTCTCATTTGGGTTGTTGTGTGTATAAGTCGTAGCTACTGTACAGTACAGTCAACCTAGCTCTGTCCAGAAGCATCCTGGTACCTACACAGGCCTTACGAGCGACCTCTTCTGAGAATTTCTATATGCTTGTTTAGTTTGCAGTGTCCACTGAGAGCCCTTGTTAATACACACAGCTATGATACCCTTTGTTTAACTAGCCGATGAAGATTTAGGGGCACAACCCAAAACACCATGACGTGGGTTCATTAAAAAAATATTTTATTCTAAATAGACTGAACAGAGAATCGAATCCATTTACATAAAACAATATGTACAACAATATATATTTAGTGAATATATTTCTAAAGTAAAGCAACTACTCTACTGCAGCAAAGAACTGGCTCCACATAATCAAATATCCTCACCAATGCAGGCGGTATCTCCGTCTTCATTCGTCCAGTGAACATGTCTGAGAACCTCGCCACCTTCAGCTCGGGGTGGTGCTCTAGCGCCTTGGCGATGGCCTGCGCGGCTGCCACGCCCAGCGTGTTGCCGGTCAATGTGAGGTAGTGGAGGTCGGGGCATGTGTTGATCGCGTCCACAATTGGTTGTGCTGGAAGGAACATTGTTTATTTATTTATTAATTTTACACTTTATTGCAACATTTACAAAAATAATAGATAGATACTCTTTATTGTTTCCTCCAAAAGATTATAATAGTAAACTTATTATAAATATAAACAATTACAAGAAATAATCACAGTGAGAAAACAATGGGCAACCTTATCGCTAGAAGGGATCTCTTGCAGCCACAACCTTTGGATGGAGAGGAGTAATTATAAACAGTTTGATCAGAGGCACGAGACTCTGTTCATTTTTAAACACATATAGAGATATGCATACATACAATAATGTGAATATATAAATTTATATTTTTGTATGTATGTAAGTTTGTAATGAATAAACTCAAAACCTACTTTGCCAATTTCAAATATTCTTTCACCATTAGAAACATGAAATACCTATTATTTCTAAATAATTATATGTTCATAATATATGTATATACCAGAGGGAGACTATACAAAAATCGATTGCTTGGTTACCTCTGTCCCATTCGTGTTTCAACCGTGAAACAGTTGTTTGCATGGCTGTGTTTCGGTTTGAAGGATGGGATATGGCGTGAAATGACTGGGTACAGAGGAATAACACCTGAGTCCGTAGGAATGGCAACGCATGGGGGGGTATCATGGGCGAAACAGTATACTCTGTTATGTCCATGGTACTGCTCATGTCTATAGGTGGCCACCATTATACATCAGGTGAGGCATAAAAAAATTTTTTTTTTCTTTCTCACACCAATTTTTTTTTTATTTGCATTTCGGACTCATCCCATGGTCTGTGTGCTACACATCCATAACATAACATATAAATATAACATATTTATCTATTCCATAATTATTTTTTTAACACATGCGGCTCACCTAATAGTGACTAGTATACGTACGGCAGGTGTGCTGCCGGTCTTTTAAAATTTGCGATATTACCAAACTATGGACATACGAGAGGTTATGTTTTTTTTTAATATCAATTACGATAAAAATTTAACAACCACAAATAAAACGAAAACATATTAATTAATTTTAAATATGATATTAAAGTAACTTTTAAAATAGATGCAGAGAAACGGGTAAACAAACCATCTTTTTCCGTGTCAAGTTTGAGAGACTTTCCAGAAAAATCCACACCACTTATAGTTCTACTTGGATCACTCAACGCTGTACTGATAGAATTTAAATCAAAAGAAGCCATTTTACACGATATTAATTAGTTAATTTACACAAACATTCAAAAAACATAAAAACAATAACACTGGATTGCAACGGTTATATTTGTATTTTCTTTTTTTAATTTAGCTTGTTTATCATCAGAGGCAAGCAAAGGAATTATATCCATGCATATAGCCAGAAATATTATTGACATAGATAAAGAATTGACTATTAATACACGTGAATTATAATTAGATGTTATAATAATATTTATAATATTATTAACTTCCAAAAAAAATATATACTAAATTTATAGAAAAAACTACAATAAAGCGTTCGGATTACAGTATGCAGGTATATTAAATGTTTTTTTTTAAAGTTATTTTTGTAAAAGATTTTACACAAAAATGAATTATTAGGAAATTTAAATACATAGGAAACATACTTACTTTTTTAAAATAATGTTATAATACTTTGGCGAGTGGTATTGATATAAAAAATGCTTTATCCTTCAATTTATATAACAGTTTTTCTGGAATGAAAATATTTACTTTTTACATTCTAACTATTCATTTCATGTAGTAGTGTAACAGCTAAAGTGATGTCACTTTCGCAGCGGCTCCAAGTCCAAGACCGGAGTCCGGAGTGGCGACGCAAGCGTCAATTGTGGCGTCTTTTAGAATGAGAAATACAGCTAAAGTGAATAACACAATACTGTGAATTCATTCAGACACTGTTAGTTATATGTAAAGTTAATAATACAGCAATGCACAGCATGACCAGTGGGAGAGTTTGTTCGAATTATAAAGACATTCGGATAAGCGGTGATTCGAATTATTAAGGCCCTATTGTATTCTTTTTTATGCAACTCTGGTTGCCATACCATACAGAAAAGTGAAAATCATCGCTTATAGAAATTATTAGTACCATGGGCATAACAAAGTATACTGTGTTGCCCATAATACTCTTTATACGATGCTATTTATGAGGACAAAATTTTAGGTTATTGAAACATATACTAACCAAGAAATATTATTTTTGCTTTATAGTTTATTTGTATTTTATAAAAAAACGAACAGAGTTTTGTGTTTCCGGTCAAATTGTTTACAATTACTCCTCTCCATTCAAAGATTACCTGGAAGAAATCGCTTTTAGGAATATGGCTGCTCATTGTTTTTTTCATTCTTATTGTTTGTGTTGTACTTAGAATAAGTTTATTAATGTGACCTTTTGAAGGAAACAATAAAGAGTCTATCTGATGTATTCACCGCAATTGTTTTATGCATTCTTGCTGCGGTTCCAAATTAAATTATTACAATAAATATAAATTACATTAATTTATATTTATTCTATTCTTTATCTATGTTGCATGATTACTAATCTATGGTTTATTCATTCATAACTTTCATTCCCTACCATTAATTTCCATTCTACGTCACTGACTGACAGCGATTGGTAGTGTCGTCTCGGTTACACTTATTTAGTACGCGAATTAACAATTTCTTTTATCTCGATCATCAATTCGAGAAAATTGTGTTTTCTCCCAACTAGTGCTACGTGACTTTTCAGCGATTTACTATGGCGGGTTAGTGAATTTTTTTTAATTCTAAATTTGAAAAAAAAAAAACATTTTTACTGCCTATCTGAATGTATCAAAAATTTCATGAAATGTTCACATTTCACATTAAATATGTATATTTTATGATAATTTTATGTGCATTTCTCTATTGTTCGTTTACCTGTAATAGAATGTATTATACCTTGTGTACTTGGTCAACGCTTCGACAAGTGTACTCAATATTTATTTAATTTTTCTCATTTCAACCTAACCTTTGCTCTTGTCGAATCGTCAGCGAACATTTTCGCGGTTGTTAACTACATAGTTGACACAAATACCATTATCAAACATGTGACAAGGTCAGCTTTCTTACATTTTTACGTACCTACGCTGCTTGATAGTGTAAAATTATTATAATCCACAAATCAATTGCACAATATTTATCAGATTTTTATATTACCCAATTATCTTGATGATAACCCAAAACGCAAATACTACGCTATTGTGAGATAAGTTTTATCTTATAATCGTTTGGAAAATGTAGGCAAGTACTTACTTAGGTACCTACTTCATCACTGTTACAGAATTCAATTCCGGAATCCCGAATGACTCGAGGCAACGGGTCGTTGAATATACAGCTTTTTTTTTATACAACTTAGAATGGCAAACAAGCTGACGGCCCACCTGATGGAAAGTGGTAACCGTCGCCTATACACATGAGCAGTACTATGGACATAACAGAGTATACTGTTTCGCCCATGATACCCCCCACGCGTTGCCATTCCTGAGGACTCAGGTGTTATTCCTCTGTACCCAGTAAATTCACGCCATATCCCACCATTCAAACCGAAACATAGCCATGCAAACAACTGCTTCACGGTTCAAACACGAATGCGACAGAGGTACCCAAGCAATCGACTTTTGTACAACGTCTCCCTCTATAATAATTATACTATATACATTTATTGTATAAATTAAAACAAATAATTAACGGTCATTCAAAAATTATTTTTAATTATTCATTTTAATTTATACAGTGAGTTTATATCTAATTATTATAGCTGTATATGTAACTCCCTGTTGCCTTTCTCATTCGGGATTCCGGAATTGTTTTCTCTGATCACCGTGTAATCTACATTGCTAGATCCAATTTTTTTTTTGATGATACCAATTACGAAGTATGATTTTCTTTTTTGATCGGTGAAAATGGTATGGTAGCCCCGCCTGCGCTAACGGTATACGCTGGCGGAGCACCAGTGAACGGTGATAGATGAGAATGAAAACAGGCCATTTAGCCCGTCATGATGAATTCATCAGGAATTTATCATGATAGTTTCCAGGGAGAACCGCGAGGAGGTCGACCTGGTTGGGTATATTGCTAGCAATGGGTCAGTTAGACTCCATTACTAACAATCCTTTCCCCCCTGAAAAGGTAGGTCAACCCATCGTGATGAATACACATGAAATTCAGCACGGTGGTTTCCCACCGCGTGGAAGTCGGCCTGACAGGGTATATTCTATATATTCTTTATTATACTTAATACATGCGACGATTAGTTGAACAAGTTGTTAGCAAGGGAGGACTTATCTCTGAAAGAGATCTCTGCCAGCCAACCCAGTAAAGAAAGGGATTGTTAGTAATGGAGACTGAGAATCGCATTGCTAGCAATATACCCAACCAGGTCGACCTCCTCGCGGTTCCCCCTGGAAACTATCATGGTTAATTCCTGATGAATTCATCATGATGGGCTAACTGGCCTGTTTTCATTCTCATCTACCACCCTTCACTGGTGCTCCGCCGGCGTGTCCCGTTGGCGCGGGCGGAGTTGCTGTGCCATTTTCACACATCAAAAAAAAACCCAGTGTAGTTAGAGAGAAGATAATTTAATTTGGGTAATCCAGTGCGGGAAAGGTACCGGCGAAAATAATGTAAATACAACAAACACTATTGTGAATAAATATATAAATACGTAAATAAGTAAATAGATAATTGCTAGCAACTGTATAACAATGGTGGTCAGAATTACTAACAATCCATGTTGAAATCTATGGGGAGCAATTTGAACGTACATATTTTCTACTAGCGGCCCGTCCCGGCGTCGCACGGGTGGACATTTTTACATTTCAAAAACTGGCCATTAAGGCTGCACATGCGACGGAAGCTTAAAAATGGAGTAACTTCTCCCGTTTTCCCGAAATTTCCCTTCACTGCTCTGCTCCTATTGATCGTAGCGTGATAACAAGTATATTATAACCTGCCCAGGAGTATGAAGAATAATTGTACCAATTGTTCGTTAAAATCCGTCTAGTTTTGTTTCTATAACGAACATACAGACAGACAGACTAAAATTTTACTGATTGCATTTTTGGCATCAGTATCGATCACTAATCACCCGCTGATAGTTATTTTGCAAATATATTTCATGTACAGAATTGACCTCTCTACAGATTTATTATAAGTATAGATATAGGTAAAAAAAAAACCTCTAATCCGATTTATAAGTAGCGAAGTTACGAAGTGAAAAACGTGAAAAAAAAAGCTACAACCTCATTTGAAACTTGCTGTTTGTTGAAGCCAGTTGAAAATTAACATTTATCCCTTTATACATAAAAACTAAAATCTACAAAGCTATTTTAATAACTTACACTTTCTTTCGAATTCGGAATTTAGCTGAAAAAACGGGATGAAACAGTTCAACGACGTTTTTATGAATATGGGGGGTAAGAATCGAGAGATTTAAGGGTATCGCAAGCTGATTGCAAGATATGTAATCAGGGGGCAGTCGGTTAAATTAGACAGGTAAAGTCTACCTGCCTAAAGCTACGTCATTGCATATTTTTATCTGCATTACTATATATGTCATAGATAGAGCGTTCAGTATCAAACACGTGTCAAAGTTCTGTCAATGTAATCAACTAATATGACTTTTGGCTGACAATTTCTTTTTTAATAATAACCAAAATTATAGTACATTACAGCAGCGGCCAGCGACTGAGGCACTGATGGACGAACGTGCATATGTGGGCCAAGGAGTAGCCGAGGCACACATACGTGAATCCATCAATGCCTAGTTGTGGCCAAGGCTTGTATAGTACTTTTCTCAAACAATGCGCGGAAATCAAAAACACAATTTTACTTTTTAAGTTCAATGACGAATAACGAACAATAATAATTTTTCACGCGCCATAATGTTCCTTTGTTTTTTTTTTCAATAAACAGCTTTCTATTTGCAAGCTAGTTCGAAATTTAAATAAACCTTTTATTAGTTACCTCCTTGGTAACCATGTTTCGAAGTAAAAGGACATTCCATTTTTAAATTACAGAACAGATATGAGTTTACATAGTAATTTATCTGGCCGCAAAACACGACAGATATGGATTTTAATACAACTTTTGCCGGCCGCTGCCCGCATGTATCTGGCCAGTACGGCAATTTTGATTTATCTCAAAGAAGATTGTCAAAATAATGCTCACATTTCCAAGCATGTTTGAGAAAAAACTATAGAATGCTTTTTTTCAGTGTTGCAAGTAATTGCATTTAAATGTCCCAAATTATAAATTAGTATACATGTACTAAATAAAATGGCCGCCATTTTCAATGATTAAAAAACAAAAAAACATATTTTATGTCTGTATTTAGATAAAAATCATAGTATTTTCAGTAAAAATAATCATCACGACTTGTCGTCCTGGCATAAAATAACCCTTCCTTTCCTGTGGGTGTTGTAAGAGGCGACCAAGGGCTGCAGTCCATCGCTCGCTCTCCTCCTCTAAAGCAGTTGCTAATCCGTTTGTCAAGTATGGTATCTACTGACAAAAGCCCTTAAAAGGGAGGCTTATAATGATGAAACATCATCACAAATAAAGACATGTTTATATGTATATAATATGGATTTATTTAAATATTCACTAGAGAATGACTTTGTACAAAAGTCGATTGCTTGGGTACCTCTGTTTCATTCATGTTTCTACCGTGAAGCAGTTGTGTTTGCATGGCTGTGTTTCGGTTTGAACGGTGCGATATGGCGTGAATTTACAGGGTACAAAGGAGTAACACCTAAGTCCTCAGGAATGGCAACGCATGGGGGGTATCATGGGCGAAACAGTATACTCTGTTATGTTCATGGTACTGCTCATGTGTATATGCGACGGTTACCACTTTCCATCAGATGGCCCGTCAGCTTGTTTGCTATTTTAAGTTGTATAAAAAAAAAAACATGTATCAGTAACTTAAAATATACATTTATATATTCACATTATTGTACGTATTCACAACTCTATATGTATTTAAAAAATTAACAGAATTCCGTGTCTCCAAAGTAGAATTGTTTATAATTACTCCTCTCCATCCAAAGGTTGCCTGCAAGAGATCGCTCTTAGCGATAAGGTCGCCCATTGTTTTCTCAGTGTAATATTATTATAATATTACATTTTTTGCAGTATTTATAATAAGTTTACTACTATAATCTTTTGGAGTAAACAATAAACAGTATCTATCATCACGAATCCCTGTGCACTGTTTATCTTGTTCTTTTAAATATAATCCCAAGAATTTTGTATTATTTTTATTTTTTAATTTAATATTTTACAATATTATTTTTTTCCACATATTTAGTATTAACTGTACATACTGGTAACCCTATTTACGCACACACACTGATATAAAAACGTTGACCCGTTTTTGGCGAAACATTACAAATGCTTCATGCATTACGAATGGAGATACTCTATCTATGTAATCTAAGAATTTCATTAAGTACTTAATCTAAGATTAAATATGAAGATAATATTTGGATTTAGTTATTGGGCTAATTTGATTTATTAATAATCCTATTTATCACTATTATAAATGTGAAAGTTTTTGAGGAAGCATGTATGGATGTTTATACCAAAGGGAGACTTTGTATTAAAGTCGTTTTTTTTTTTTTTTTTTTTATGCAACTTAGAATGACAAACAAGCTGACGGCCCACCTGATGGAAAGTGGTAACCGTCGCCTATAGACATGAGCAGTACCATGGACATAGCAGACTATACTGTTTCACCCATGATACCCCCCATGCGTTGCCATTCCTGAGGACTCAGGTGTTATTCCTCTGTACCCTGTAAATTCACGCCATATCCCACCCTTCAAACCGAAACACAGTCATGCAAACACAACTGCTTCACGGTTGAAACACGAATGGGACAGAGGTGCCCAAGCAATCGACTTTTGTACAAAGTCTCCCTCGTTTGCTTTCGCACCTCTGTCCCATTCGTGTGTCAACCGTGAAGCAGTTGTGTTTGCATGGCTGTGTTTCGGTTTGAAGGGTGGGATATGGCGTGAATTTACAGGGTACAGAGGAATAACGCCTGAGTCCTCAGGAATGGCAACGCATTGGGGGTATCATGGACGAAACAGTATACTCTTTTATGTCCATGGTACTGCTCATGTCTATAGGCGAGTGTTACCACTTTACATCAGGTGGGCCGTCAGCTTGTTTGCCATTCTAAGTTGTATTAAAAAAACGATTTGAAGGTATTAAATAATACTAGACTACAAATATTTGAAAAGTTATTCAAATGGACTTGTTTACAAGCAGTTTTAAATCGTCATTCTTTAAATCTACTGCAGGGTTCAGAGAGTTGTTATCTGTTGAGAAGAGCCCGCGAGAAACTCAACAGTTACTCTTTTAAATCTCTGTTAACATTATGTGTATTTATTTAAATGTACTATGTCTAAAATTGCATGGTCGTTAGAAGCCCGCGCATGATCGACTAACACCATGCACGTTTGTCATTCGAGTAATCGTTTAGTGTGGAATAGGCTTTGTTCAACAAGTGTTTTTTAATAACAGTTTTAAACTTATTAGAAGGTAGATCCAAAATATCCTTCGGTATCTTATTATAACATTTAATGCCCATTCCCATAAAAGACCTATTAACTGTTTTTAAACGATACTTGGCAACAGCAAGTTTGCATTTGTATCTAGTGTTAAGATTATACAGATCGCTGTTTTTAAGAAACACTTGAAGATTCCTGGGTTTCTTTTTTTTTAATTTGATTTCTTTGTTACAGCCACAAGCAATCCGTACGAGAGGTTGCTTCGAACAATCGATATAAATGGAAAGACATACAAATATTATGACCTTGCCGCTTTGGGCGCCAAATACGGTGAGTCTGTTTTGTTCTACATCTTTGACTGGTACCAGTGTTGCCAGATTGGATATATTTTTGTAATTTTAGGTAAAAAAAAAATCTGTTCGCATTTTTTTTTTGAGACATTTTTGGAAAAAATACTTTTGGATAATAGTTTCTGTATAAATGTATGAATGATGGTGGCAAAGCAGAGTATGGAAATTGAGAAAGAGAGAGTAAAATAAGGTAAAAGTAGAAACAAAAGTATAAACTTTTGTTCCTATTTATTACATATTAGCCGTCAATCTCTCAAAGACTAGATTTGTCATATTCCCTTGTGTGCACACACAAGGAAATATGACATATGTATATATTTATATGTGTATTTTTCTGTTTTTTGTATGTATTGTATATATATATATATATATATATATATATATATATATACATTACAGGTTCTTGTATTTTATGCACGAAAAATTATTAATTCACTCTTGCGCCACCTGCCCACTTCTATCTGTTCTCCTTTAACCAAAGGTTGTCTGTAAGAGATCGCCCTAACGATAAAACGCCTTTTGTACCTTTATGTGTATATTTCAATCTGTATTTATGTAACTGTATTTCACTTGAACTATTCACTTGTCATTGTATATTTTTATTTATGGTGCAATAAAGAGTTAAATAAATAAATAAGTATTATTAGTAACAATATATATTACATATAAAAAAAATGGAATTTGGACAGCTAGTCAGTCCGGTCAACGTTCTTACATTGATATAAAATTAACTATGTAATTAACTAATAGGTATAAATTAAAGACTTATCAATAAGTCATACAGTCGATGGATTTAATAAAAACTAAATTTAAAAATAACATTTTGGACCGTATATATATATTTTTTGATGCGTGAAAATGGTATGGTAACCGCGCTAACGGGATACGCTGGCGGAGCACCAGTAAAGCGTGATAGATGAGAATGAAAACAAGCCAGTTAGCCCATCACGATGAATTCATCAGGAATTAACCATGATAGTTTCCAGGGGGAACCGCGAGGAGGTCGACCTGGTTGGGTATATTGCTAGCAATAGGATTCTCAGTCTTCATTACTAACAATCCCTTTCTCTCTTTGGACTGTACTCAGACTTGAACTGTCAGAAGGTCAGAATTGAACGTGGAGTCGTAAGTTCAAGCTCGGGTCAAGCAATTTATAATCTCTTTTATAGTATAATGCTTAACAGGTTAAAAACATATAATATATCACCAGAGAGAGACTTTGTATAAAAGTCGTTTGTTCGAGCACCTCTGTCCCATTCGTGTTTCAACCGTGAAGCAGTTGTGTTTGCATGGCTGTGTTTCGGTTTGAAGGGTGGGATATGACAGTGAATTTACAGGGTACAGAGAAATAACACCCGAGTCCTCAGGAATGGCAACGCATGGGGGGTATCATGGGCGAAACAGTATACTCTGTTATGTCCATGGTACTGCTCATGTCTATAGGCGACAGTTACCACTTCCCATCAGGCGGGCCATTAGCTAGTTTGCCATTCTAATTTCCATAAAAAAAATTATCAACTATGATTATTAGATTGATTTCGACTTAGAAAATCTCACTGAATAAGTTTCCTTTTTGCAAAAAGAATCATTGTAATCGGTCGAGATGGGAAGGTTTAGGCTACGTTTGAAACTTGTATAAGTTATGTGGACGAAGTCGCAAGCGAATACCAGTTACTCATAATTGTGAATTATGCCACCGCAGACCGTTTGCCGTTCAGCATCAGGGTGCTCCTGGAGTCATGCGTCCGCAACTGCGACAACTTCCAAGTGCTGGAGAAGGACGTGCAAAACGTTCTAGACTGGGAAAGGAACCAGGCCCAGGATGCTGTGGAGATCGCCTTCAAACCCGCCAGGGTTATACTGCAGGTATGGTGTTTTCCAAATTTTTAGACACCACCCGGCTACCTGGCATAAGCGTGGATTTTGGCCACAACAGAATATCAGTGTTTTGCTCTTTTGAGGGCAAAGCAATAAACTGAGTTCCAGGAGGAAGGGATTGTTAGTAATGGAGTCTAACTGCCCCATAGCTAATAATACACCCTATCAGGTCGACCTCCACGCGGTTGCTCCTGGAAACCATTGTGGTTAATCCTTTATGAAAAAAAAACTCTTTTCTTTAATGGGTGAAAATGGCATGGTAACCCTGTCTGCGCTATCGGTGTACACTAGCGAGGTACCAGTGAGAGGTGATAGGTGAGGACGAGAAGGCAGGTCAGTTAGGCCATCGTGACGAATTCAACGATAAATTAGTCAAGACAGTTACCAGGAGGAACCGCGTGGAGGTCGGCCTGATAGGGCTAACTATTCCCCCCCTCCCCCCACCTAACTCTCAAACACCACCTTCCAGGATCTGACAGGTGTTCCGGCCGTGGTAGACTTCGCAGCCATGCGCGACGCAGTCAGAACCCTGGGCGGCGACCCTCAGAAGATCAACCCCATATGCCCAGCTGACCTGGTCATAGACCATTCAGTGCAGGTGGACTTTGCTCGCACGTGAGTACTGTTTAGCCGACTTTAAAAAAGGAGGTGCTTTCAGCTCAAATTTTTTTTATAATGTACAATTTATTTTTAGCTTTCAAACCATTGCTGTGTATTATGGTGAATGAAACAAAAAAACAATTTTCAAATCGGATTGAGTTTTAAAATTAATTTAAATAATTTCAATATAAACTATTTAGGAGTTATTATAACTATTTTAAAATTTATTATTTAATAACCATATTTTAACTATTTTAATATTAATTATTTATGAGCCATTTTATTATGAGTTAATTTTAAAATGGTCACACCATTTTAAAATTAACTACATATGAAAAATTATAAACAAAGTTTTACTTATTCTAAAAATCGACTATTTATTAATCATTTTATAATTAACTATTTATTAACCATTTGAATATAAACTATTTAGGAGCCATATTGTAACCATTTTATAATTAACTATTTCTCAACCATTTTAAAATCTGAAATCACGTCTTGTTACAGACCGGACGCGTTGAACAAGAATCAAGAATTAGAGTTTGAAAGGAACAAAGAAAGATTCCAATTTTTAAAGGTGAGTATGACTTCAGTCAAGCATATTAGTACATACCGACAGACAAATACTTGTGGTGTTTTATTTGTAACATCTTGTATTGGCGTCTGTGACAAAATGTTACCAAACTCCTTCGAAACGGCTTTTCCGATTTTTATGAAATTTTGTGTACATATTAGGTAGGTCTGAGAATCGGCCAACATCTATTTTTCATACCCCTCAATGATAAGGGTGACCCTCCCCAAAAATTTTTTTTTTTTATATATTTTTTATTTTTTTTTTATATATATATATATATATATATATATATATATATATATATATATATATATATATATATATATATATATATATACCGTAATTGTGATGATCATTGATTAAAAAGATTTTCATCGATTCAACATAGTAATCCTTAAATGTACAACATAGTAATCCTTGAATGTACAACATAGTGATCGGAAAAGGCGGGAAATATTAAACATGGCGATCTTCTGAAGAATGAAACTAAAATTAAAATACATGACGCTTGACTGAGAAATGGTCGTAAAAGTAAAGACTTATTGCCATTAAAGAAAAAATAATATAAAAAAATGTATTTCATGTTTCAAATAAATAAATAAAAACTTATAAATCAAATATGTTTTTTTTTACAGTGGGGCGCCCAAGCGTTTGACAACATGCTTATAGTGCCACCCGGTTCTGGAATTGTACATCAGGTTAGTCCTCTGTTATAGCGAATATACGGCCCGCCTTATAGTAGCGTACTAGTTGTCGCACTACAGAGTTCTTTAAAAGGTCGGCAGCGCACCTGCAATACCTATGGTGTTGTGGGTGATCATGGGCAGTGGTAGTCACTTACTATCAGGTTTTTTTTTCAATGGATGATAATGGAATGGTCGCTTCGTCTGCGCTAACGGTATACGCTGGCGGGGCACCAGTGAGGGGTGATAGATGAGAATGAAAACAGGCCAGTTAGCCCATCATGATGAATTCATCAGGAATTAACCATGATAGTTTCCAGGGGGAACCGCGAGGAGGCCAACCTGGTTGGGTATATTGCTAGCAATGGGATTCTCAGTCTCCATCACTAACAATCCCTTTCCCCCCAGTCACTTACTATTAGGTTTATTTTTTAGTTTTTTTGGTTTGGTATGGTAACCCCGCCTGCGCTAACGGTATACGCTGGTGGAGCACCAGTAAGAGATAATAGGTGAGAATGAAAAGGCAAGTTCGTTAGCTAAAGTTAACTATCCTACCTTCCTAATGCTCCTCAAATATTGCGTCTAAACTGCGCCCACCATGTACCCTTTTGTATAGGCGTTCCGTCACCCGTATCCAACAGCGAGGACTGGATGCTTTAAATACTGTACCGCAAACGATTAAGAAAAAAAAAAGAAATGAAAAAGGTTAACTGTCCACTGCTGGGCATAAGCCACCCCCAGGGGGGGCTTTGCCAGTAGTTACCACGCTTGACAGGCGAGTTGACAACCGCAGGTAGGCTTTGGTGATGTTTTAGTAGGTCCACTGCTGCCCATCCCTCGCCGTCCCTTACTCCCTTCATCATTAACCCATGGGGGTTATCATGGGCGAAACAGTATACTCTGTTATGTCCATGGTACTGCTCATGTGTATAGGCGACGGTTACCACTTTACATCAGGTGGGCCGTCAGCTTGTTTGCCATTCTAAGTTGTATAAAAAAAAGTCAACTCTTACGACACTGGGGGAAAGGGATTGTTAGTAATGGAGACTGAGAATCCCATTGCCAGCAATATACCCAACCAGGTCCACCTCCTCGCGGTTCCCCCTGGAAACTATCATGGTTAATTTCTGATGAATTCATCGTGACGGGCTAACTGGCCTGTTTTCATTCTCATCTATCACCCTTCACTGGTGCTCCGCCAGCGTATCCCGTTAGCGCAGGCGGGGCTACCATACCATTTTCACCCATCAAAAAAAAAGGTAAAGGTAAAAAGTAAATACGGTAAAGGGGTAGCCCATTCCATGTCGGGAGCATTCGGCAAGACGTAGCAGTTAGTAGTAAATTGAAAATGTGTTAATATTTGTTTTTCAATGTCCAGGTGAATTTGGAATACTTGGCACGGGTGGTGTTCTCCGGGGACACTCTGTACCCTGACTCTGTGGTTGGCACAGACAGCCACACGACCATGATCAACGGGCTCGGCGTCGTCGGCTGGGGCGTTGGCGGTGAGTGACTCTCTTGTCTTGCTACATATTTTTTTTATAATACTTAGAATAGCAAACAAGCTGACGGCCCACCTGATGGAAAGTGGTAACCGTCGCCTATAGACATGAGCAGTACCATGGACATAACAGAGTATAGTATATATATATATATTTTACATTATTACATGTATCATATCTATATATTAAGAAATAACAAAATTTCATCGTGCCTCCCACCAAACTGTTTATAATTACTCCTCTCCATCCAAAGGTTGCCTGCAAGAGATCGCTCTTAGCGCTAAGGCCGCCCATTGTTTTCTCATTGTGATTATTTCTTGTAATTGTTTATATTTATAATAAGTTTACTATTGTAATCTTATGGAGGAAACAATAAAGAGTATCTATCTATCTATCTATCTATTTTTTTTAATACAATTATATATGTATAAATGCATATATGCAGTGTACTGTAAAACTTGGGTGGGAGACTAGATCCTAAACTAAATCGGAGATCTGTATCTCAGGAAAATCATCATAAAGAGGAAAGATTTGTATTTTTGTGTGTATGTATGTTTGTAATGAATAAACTCATAAACTACTTTGCCAATTTCAAAAATTCTCCCACTATTTGAGAGCTACATTCACCCTGAGCAACATAGGCTATATTCATTGCTAGAAAAGATTAGGGATCCATACTAAAACTTTAGTAACGTAACTCCAGGGTGTACAAAAAAATGCTATAAAATATCTTTGGTCGCGTGCGCTGCGGAAACTATTGGTGATAGAACAAAAGTATGTTCTACAATATTGAAGAAAATATCGATAACTACAAAAAACTTTACGACACTATATGTCCAACTATTATCGTTATGTCACAATGACCACTTTTTTAAATGTTGTAAAAATGTCCACCCGTGCGAGCGAAGCCGGGACGGGTTGCTAATATAGTATACATATATATAATGAAATATATAAATAAAACCGGTCAGGCAGTAATGTTCATTTTGTTCATACAATCATGTGTGTCATTCTTTAAACGGAACTGTATGATCCATATTGAGTTAAATGCTGTAACCATGGCAACAACAGAAATACTTCTCACGTTGACCACTAGATGGAGTTGTTATCTTAGTATCTGTGTGCTACAACGCGATATTAAGATTTCTAACATGTCTATATAAGCTCAAGAGTATATCGAATAATAATGCCCATCCGAATACGCTCATAGTAAGAGCGGTTAGATACAAACCCCCCTATTACAGAACGTCACCCGAGGCACGCACTCTTGGACCCCGATGATCCAACTACGACAGTAAACGCGTCTCCCTCCCTCCCTCCCTCCCTCCCTCCCTCCCTACCGCGTAATCTTCGACAAGAGTCCCTACAAACAAACCCACACATCGCAGACACCGCCCCCGCCGGCGGGGGCGAAGAACCCTCGCGATCAGGTTTGCGCCCGAACACACAACAACCGCGTCGCAATCTCACCCACCCAGACGTACCGACACTTCGCCGTCCCTTGACGGGGGTCGAAGTGCGGTGGCCTAAACCGAGGCCGAGCCACTCTGACGCCCTTAGGCGCACACACCGCAGTCCATAAGTAAGAGTCGACACCTCTGTCGCTCCCCTTTCGCGGGCTTGGAGTGCCATCAGCACTCGCCCCTGCATTCGCGTCCGGTGAAGCTGTAAAAGCCACCCACGGCCAACAGCAAACACGTTCAGAAAAAAAAATTTAAATAATGTTAAATCTCATCTGGGACAGTCCAAGGGGTGTTTTATTTATTGAAACCTAAATTAAAACGTACCTATACTCGTGGATGTGAATAAGGATTTGTTCAGGAACCATAAAGACTATGTACTTTCTATTGGACAGCAGCGGACTCTGGATTATGTCGGAATAATTGAGTAGTTCTTTTCGCCTGCCAGGAATCGAAGCGGAGGCCGTGATGCTGGGGCAGGCTATCAGTATGCTGCTACCCAAAGTGGTGGGCTACAGGCTGGTGGGGGAATTAAACCCGCTGGCGACATCTACCGACCTCGTCCTTACCATCACAAAGGTAATTTATGTATATATATTTTTTCTCCATCCAAAGGTTGCGTGGAAGAGATCGCTCTTAGCGATAAGGTCGCCCATTGTTTTCTCATTGTGATTATTTCTTGTAATTGTTTGTATCTATAATAAGTTTACTATTGTAATCTTATGGAGGAAACAATAAAGAGTATCTATCTATCTATATTTATGAGTGATAATGTAATGCAGAGGTTTATGTTAATGAATTAGGCTGACCACTTGTACAAAGTTTGATTGTGCAATAAAGAATAAATAAATAAAAGTTGTCTGCTTGGGCACCTCTGTCCCATTCGTGTTTTAACCGTCAAGCAGTTGTGTTTGCATGGCTGTGTTTCGGTTTGAAGGGTGGAACATGGCAGTGAATTTACAGGGTACAGAGGAGTAACACCTGAGTCCTCAGGAATGGCAATGTGGAGCATCATGGGCATGGGAAACAGTACAATCTGTTATGTCCACGGTACTGCTCATGTCTACAGGCGACAATAACCACTTTCCATCAGGTGGATTGTTAGCTTGTTTGCCATTCTAAGTAGCTTAGCAAAAAACCCCTTTAAAAATCTCGATGACTACCTTAGTTCTAGGAATAGAAATGGGGGGTATCATGGGCGAAACAGTGTACTCTGTTATGTCCATGGTACTGCTCATGTTTACCATTCTAAGTAGCATAGGAACCCCTTAAAAAACTCTTTAATAACCTCGGTGAATGAAAAGGCCCGTAATGTCCCCTGCCATTCTTAGTAGCTTAGCAAAAACCCTGTTTAAAAATCCCGGTAACTGAGACTGTGGGTGTGGTGGGCGCAGCACCTGCGGTCGCTGGGCGTGGTGGGCAAGTTCGTGGAGTTCTTCGGGCCCGGCGTGGCGGCGCTGAGCATCGCGGACCGCGCCACCGTCGCCAACATGTGCCCCGAGTTCGGCGCCACGCTCGCGCACTTCCCCGTCGACCGCCGCTCGCTCGCCTACCTCGCGCAGACAAGTAACCTACCACTACGCTACACTAAACTAAACTAAACTACACTACACTACACTTAACTACACTAAACTACACACTACACTACTAAACTACACTACACTACACTAAACTACACTACACTACACTACACTAAACTACACTACACTACACTACACTAAACTACACTACACTACACTACACTACACTACACTACACTACACTACACTACACTACACTACACACTACACTAAACTACGCTACACTAAACTACACTACACAGCAATACACCTTATCGGTTCGAACTCCATCCACGCGGTTCCCTCTGGAAACCATCGTGGTTAATTCTAGTGGAATTCGTCACGATGGGCTAACTGGACTACTTTCATCCTCACTTAATCATCCCTCACTGGTGCCTCGCTGATGTATGTATACTGATAGCGCAGGCGGGGTTACCATTCCATTAGCTGGATGCTAATGGAAAAAAAAAAAAACACTACACTACTCCATCTAGATACTTCATGCCTGCGCTTCAATCGTAACATGCAGTTCATTTAATTTTTTTATTCAGTCGTAAGTGTTGTTAATTTCGTTCATTCATTCAATAGTAAAGTGTAGTTCGTTTCATTATCTCGTTTAGTCGTAAAGTGTAGTTCGTTTCATTATCTCGTTCAGTCGTAAAGTGTAGTTCGTTTCATTATCTCGTTCAGTCGTAAAGTGTAGTTCATTTCATTAATTCGTTCAGTCGTAAAGTGTAGTTCGTTTCATTAATGCATTCAGTCTACAGTGTAGTTCGTTTCATTAATTCGTTCAGTCGTAAAGTGTAGTTCGTTTCATTAATTCATTCACTCGTAAAGTGCAGTTCGTTTCATTAATTCATTCACTCGTAAAGTGCAGTTCGTTTCATTCATTCGTTCATTCTAAATAGCTTTTATCTTTCATTTGTTCTGTCATTAAATGTCGTTTATTCCATTTATTATTAAGCCATACGTGTAATTGATTACGTTAATTCTTTCGTTAATAGATTATGTTCAAATAATTATTTTTTTAATTGGTAAAAATCGTTAATTCCATTCTTTCATTCGGTTCGTTCATATCATTCTTTTCAATCTTTCATTGGGTTTATTTATTTCATTTACATCTTTTGAGAACTGCTTTCGTATAAAGATTTGTGGTTTATACAGTGTCTGTATATCAGAGACTGACATACTGAGGTGATGATGATGATGATGATGATGATGGGGATGGTATATGATGATTGTCGATCTCTGTAATTGCCTATTCCCTTTGGAGATATCGTTTAAGTTTTAATAATGATTTATGACGCTTTCAGATCGCGACACGAGTAGGATTAAACTAATAGAGGAATACCTGAGAGTGACCAAGCAGTTCAGGGACTACAATGACCCAGAACAGGACCCGGTCTTCTCGGAGGTAAAGCGACAGATTTTTTTTTAATGGATGATAATGGAATGGTAACCCCGCCTGCGCTATCGGTATACACCGGCGGGACACCAGTGAGGGATGATAGGTGAGGATGAAGCAGGTCAGTTAGCCCATCGTGACGAATTCAACAAGAATTGCTCACGATGGTTTCCAGGGGGAACCACGTGGAGGTTGTACCTGATAGGGCATATTGCTAGCAATGGGGCTGTCAAACTCCATTGCCAACAATCCCTTTCCTCCCAATGGATGATATTGGAATGGTAACCCCGCCTGCGCTAACGGTATACGCTGGTGGGGCACCAGTGAAGGATGATAGGTGAGGATGAAAAGGCAGGTTAGTTAGCCCATTGTGATGATTACACTGATGATTCAGCACGATGGTTTTTTAAGACCACGTGGTCTAATGTGAAATGTCAATAGGACTCTATTTTCCGCGCTTAGCCTCTCATTTGGGCCGTTGTACGTATGAGTCGTGGCTAGTACAGCCAAACTAGCTCCGCCCAGAAGCGCAGAAGCTTCCTGGTTTCTACACAGCCATCACGGAGCGACCTCACCGTTCCGAGGATTTCTGAACGTTGATGGGCCACAACTTCACATTCCAGGATTACGTGAGCAGACGTTTCGACACCGACCACGTGGTCAACCTGATAGGGGTATATTGCTAGCAATGGGACTAGTAGTTCGCATTGCTAACAATCCCACCGACTTAGTAAGATCGTTAGATACTAAAAAAAATACTTTCTACAATTTTTTTTTCTGTCTTTATTCTGGTATCACGTGTTCAAACTATTGAATCAAATTAGATGTGATTTTCACAGTTGTATACCTGAAGGTATAACTTGTTTTTTTTATACAACTTAGAATGGCAAACAAGCTGACGGCCCACCTGATGGAAAGTGGTAACTGTCGCCAATAGACAAGAGCAGTACCATGGACATAACAGAGCACACTGTTTCGTCCATGATTTGCCAACTGCTTTGTCTACGTCGATTCTAGATGTAGCCAAATCAATGCCATATAGCATTTTTAAACGACGTATCGACATGAAACATCCACCTCCCTCTGGTACAAACTTTACTACTGGACTTTGTACAGAAGTCGATTGCTTGGGTACCTCTGTCGCATTCGTGTTTCAACCGTGAAGCAGTTGTGTTTGCATGGCTGTGTTTCGGTTTGAAGGGTGGGATATGGCAGTGAATTTACAGGATACAGAGGAATAACACCTGAATCCTCAGGAATGGCAACGCATGGGGGTATCATGGGCGAAACAGTATATTCTGTTATGTCCACGGTACTGCTCATGTCTATAGGCGACGGTTATCACTTTCTATCAGGTGGGCCGTCAGGTTGTTTGCCATTCTAAGTTGTATAAAACAAAAAATCAAACATCATACATATTGTATCCACACCACCTTTTAAAAGCAATACCCACAATAATTTTCAGGTGGTGGAACTGGACCTGTCCACAGTCGTCACATCAGTGAGCGGCCCCAAGAGGCCCCAAGATCGTGTCTCCGTGTCCGTCATGAAGAAGGACTTCCAAGAATGTCTCACGAATAAGGTGAGTCCTTAGATTATATAGATAGAGTGTCTCCATACAAATGCTTCGAGAAAAACGAGTCAACTTTTTCATACAATTTTACGCGATACATAGTTACGAGTGATTCCTTTATAACTTCCATATTTATTTTGTCTTATAATTTCCGCATCTTTTTAATGTGTAAACACTCATTTTATTTATTAAATAATACGTCGAGATACATTGTGTGCGTAAGTATATAGAACACTGATAAAAACACGAGTCAGCTAATTTGACAATTAGCTGACAAAAAGTTGATACCTTTTTGAGGCACATATTTTTTTATTTATTTTGTGTTTGCATGGCTGTGTTTCGGTTTGAAGGGTGGGATATGGCGTGAATTTACAGGGTACAGAAGAATAACACCCGAGTCCTCAGAAATGGCAACGCATGGGTGGTATCATGGGCGAAACAGTATACTCTGTTATGTCCATGGCACTGCTCATGTCTATAGGCGACGGTTACCACTTTCCATCAGGCGGGTTGGCTTATTTGCCATTCTAAGTGACATAAAAGAAATTACCATGCAGATACATACAAAAAAAATTAAAATTTTTAATATCAGTTAAGATGATTGGTCACTAAACAATAAGACACTAATACTAGATGGCGTTAAAATCGAGGTTTGTAGTTGTTGATTATTTGATAATGAAAGATAATTTTAGGCAAAATACTAAATTAATGAGTTATTTAATTGATTTTTTACCAATATAGTATTAATTTCTTATAATTTTTGTCTTTATTCTCTTATATTGTATGATAATTGAATAATAATTACCATGCAAATACATACAAAATATAAAAATGCGTAGTACTACTTAAGGTGATTGGTCACTAAACAATAAGACACGAAATACTAGATGGCGTTACAATCGAGATTTGTAGTTGTTGATTATTTGGTAATGGAAGATAATTTTAGGCAAAATTTCTAAATTGACGGGTGGTTTAATTGTTTTTTTACCAATATATTTTAGTATTAATTTATCATAATGTTTGTCTTTGTTCTTTTCACATACATACTAAATATAAAAAAATGTTTAGTACCACTTAAGGTGATTGGTCATTTAAGAGCATTAATAGTACATATCTTATGACAGATGCAAACGTTTTCAAATGTTGGTAGGTGTGATGCAAAATTCACAAATATATAAATAAATAATAATGGATCGCTTGTAGCGATAAGGCCGCCTTTTGTATATGCACATTCTGTATAAATACTCCTTGTATACATCTCTATTATGCGCAATAAAGAGTTTATCTTTATTATTAAATATAATACATAATACATACATACATATCTGTCACGCCTGTCTTCCATTAGGGTAAGCAGAAACAATGGATCGCCAAATGCTTCGATTCAAACAAACCACTTTCGCTTCCTCCACATTCATCAATCTTTTCATACACGCTCGCCGATTACGGGTACTTTTAATTTGGCCCTTCATCAGCACGTCGCCTATTTGGTCAACATACGTCCGTCTAGGCGGCTTATTAAATATAAGTAATAGGAAATATTCTGATACAATTAGAAATATAAATAAAAAAAAAAGAAAATAGTAAATAAAAAAAAATATGCATAATTATGTAAGACAAAAATACAAAACGTGCTTAATTAATTATCAATGAAATTAATTATCGCCAAAAATATACAATAATGTGATATATAAGAAGTGTCTCATATTAGGCAAAAGGAACTGGCTCAGCTGATGCTGTGAATGTCCCAGTGCAATGTGTAAAGCTGCACAGCGATGGTTTGCAGCCAGTGCCACTCTTAACAAAACGCAACAGAAATACAAACGGTTACAAGTGCAATTGCATGGTACAAGAGTGTGCATTTTGTCCCGATACAATATTTACCTCCAACTAATATATCTACTGAGTGACTGACACCACTTATGTTCATAATAGTCCTGTAATTATTTGAAGAACTCCATCTTTTAAATGCCACAGTATATATATACTGTTATAAAAAAACATGATATGCAGATGTTATTGTGTAACAAACTAGCTGCCATCGAACACCCAGTGATAGATCTATTAACATATATACTGAGCGATTGATGGCCACTAATTTTCACACTCCCATATTCCTCTGCAATTTTCTTTATCTGAATACAATGGGTCTATGTATCCACTTATAGTCTTTTACAACTTTCTTCATATGCCGACTATTTATCCGCTGGTAATATTGTGTAACAAATAGTCGCTGTCAGACGCCCAGTGATAGATCTGTTAACATATCTACTGAGCCACTGACAACCACTAATGATCACATAGCCCTATATTTTTTTTATGAACTCCGTTGTTTAAATACCGCAGGAACTACAATATAAATACAGTTATGATAAAAATAAAAACAATATAGACACAGTATAGAAAAGAAAAAGACAAGTTGCATATGCCGACTATTTATCCGCTGGTAATATTTTGTAACAAATAGTCGGTGTCAGACGCCCAGTGATAGATCTATTACCATATCTACTGAGCGAGTGACAACCGCTAATGTGTACTTTAAATTCGTCTTCAACTTTGTTTATATGGACACTATGACGGCTATGTATCCACTGGTAAAATTGTGTAACAAATAGTTGTTGTCAGTCACCCAGTTATAAATCTGTTACCATATCTACTGAGCGAGTGACAACCACTAATGTTCACTTTTATATTCCTCTGGAACTTTCTTCATCTGGGCGCTCTATGATGACTATGTAAATACTGTCTAAAGAAAGAAAAATATGATCCATTGGTGATATTATGTAAAAAATAGTTGGCGTCAATCACCCAGTGATAGATTTACTAATATATCACAAAGCAACTGATATCCACTAATGCTCACACAGCTCATATTACTGCAGACCTTCACTATTTAAATGCTACAATAATTATCATCATGTAAAAATACGTTTAGGAAAATATACAAATACAGTTATGAAAAAAACGCACAATATACAAATCATATACTATAAGAAATAACTGCCACCAAATATACAGTTATAAAGCCATTCCATATTCTTTCACGCTGAGAATCTATAAAGTCTGCAATTAAAATAATTATTTTCACTAGTTAGTTACAAAATAAAAAATTAAAACATAATAAGTCATTATAAATCATTACAGAAAAAAGTAAACACAACATAGAGGTGATACTGTGTAAAAAAATAACCACCACCAAATACTCAGTGATATATCTCCTAACATATATACTGGGCAATTGATGGCCGCTAATTTATACAATCCCATATTCCTTTCCAGCTCTAATCACTTCGGTATATATTTACAAAAAGTGCTATACTGATGGTATTGTATAACTATTAACTGGCAACACTCGCCCAGTGATAGATCTGTTAACATATCTACTGAGCGATTGATAGCCGTTAATGTTTACAGAGTCCACGTTCCTTTGGTATTTTAAAATCGATTTCGCAAAATTTTATTGTAATTGTGTACTGATGAGATTGTGTAACAAATAACCGCCACCTAATGCCCAGTGATAGATCTATTAATATATCTACTGAGCAATTGATGGCAGCTAATGTTCACAGTTCCGTATTCTTCTGCAGCTGTAATCACTTCAATACATAATTGGCTAAAAGAACACAATTTTTATAATATAAAAGATTTCCTTAGCAAAAATCCTTGACACAGCATATAAAACAAAAGTTATATAGCAATCATGATTGATATATAGTAATAATGATTGAGTTTGCATGCTGTATGATTTTAGCAAGACTCTCTCTGAAACATAATTAAAACATCGTTGTATATCATGTTTTACGCAAATAAAGATTCATTATTTATTATTATTATCTTCTATTTATACATAACGGTGCACTGATGATATTGGTTAACAAATAACAGACTTCACTCGCCCAGTCATAGATCTGTGTTAATCTATCTACTGAGCGATTGATAGCCGCTAATGTTAACAGTCCCACATTCCTTTGGAATTTTCGAATCGTTTCCAATATCTGTAGATGATAGTGTACTGACAATATTGTGTAACAAATAGCTGGCAACACTCGCCCAGTGATAGATCTACTAACATATCAACTGAGCGATTGATGGCCGCTAATGTTCACGTAAATCCACATTCTTCTATACAGGAGATCTATAAAGTCTGTTATTAAAATTATATTATCTTAATGACAAGCTGAAAATTTAAAATTAAATAAATTTAATAACATTATGTACAAAGTACAAAAGTATGGGGCACACATATACATAAATAAGCTAGTAATGTAGATAAAATTAAAGACAACTAAATAGTGCGAGATTAAGTACTGAAATCCTTAATAACTAACCGTAAACCGCGTCTTTGTTTGCATGAATAAGGAAGATAATTTATAAGGAACTTAAAGACTTTATGATTCTAATTTGACCAGTGGAAGACTTTATACAAAAGTTGTCCGCATGGGGACCCATTTCCCACTCATGTCTCAGCCGTGAAACAGCTGTGCTCACACAGTCATGCATATTTCACTTTGTAGGGTAGGATTTGAAATTATATGGTACGGAGAGATTATTTTATCTTAGTATTCAGGAATGGCAACGCATGATGGTATCATGGGCGAAACAGTATACTCTGCCATGTCCATGGTACTGCTCATGTCTATAGATGATGGTTATCACTTTCCATTAGGTGAGCCATCAACTAGTTTATCATTGTTAGTTACATAAAAAAAAGGACTTACCCTCCTTCCCATAAAATCTTCTCAAAAGTACAATGGAAAACAGACTCTCTTTGAAGTAGTACTGTCCCAGTGGCAAATGTTACGCGCCCAGTGACAGATCTAATAGCGTGTCTGCTGGGTCGGTAACACTTACCATTGGCGACAGTGGAGACTATGGAGGTCGGCGACTAGCGGCCCATTGTTAGTAATAAATAAAATCCATAATGATCGCATTGAACATGTCCAAAAAAAGTGTCTAAAAATACTTTCATTTAAGTCAAATAAAGTCCGTATATTAAAGTCTTATGAAGA